GGAAGCACCCTGAAAGGACTTATTGGACTGAATCATTTACACATCTGCCTGCCACATCCTACACTGGCTAAGAGGCCCTTCCTGGCATGGGGAGGTACTGTCTTGGCCCTCTCCTTCACCACCTGGCTCTTACTTGGTCGGCAATGACTGTCCGGTGCTGGTACATTCCAGGATTAAGCTGCCAACGACAGAACTGGCCTCTCCAACCTCGGGTTATAGTGCCTCCTCCGATGCCACCCAAGGGACAACCTAGAAAGAGAATCAGGACCATTACTAGGGTAATGGGTAGAGGAAAACAAGCCCATTTCTCACTTTCTAGACTATAAAGATGGGTTCCTCTAAAAACCATGGGAATATGAAATCAACATGTACACTTTAACTTATACAATGTTATATGCCAATTATATCAATAAAGCTGGCGGGGGGGAAACCCCCTAGGGCAGTGGTTCTCAACCTTCCTAATGTCGCGACCCTTTAATACAGTTCCTCATGTTGTGGTGACCCCCAATTTCATTGTTACAAATTGAACATAATTAAAGCATAGTGATTAATCACAAAAACAATATGTAATTATATTTGTGTTTTCCGATGGTCTTAAGCGACCCCTGTGAAAGGGTCGTTCGACCCCCAAAGGGGTCGCGACCCACAGGTTGAGAACCGCTGCCCTAGAGGATGGGGGCAGTAAAGCTTGCTAAGTGGAAACATCTTTGCCTCACTCTGTGCCCTCTCTGGGCGCAGCCTCACTGAACAGGGCAGAGCTGGGGTGGGGCTCACCATAGATCTGTCTCAGGGGTACAGAGTTGATGAGGTCGATGAAAGGTTTCTTCTTCTCCACCTGAGTCTTCTGGTACCACCACTGCAAGTACCTGAGGAGCAGGAGGCAGTGTGATGGAAGGAGTTGTGGGCAAGTGCCTTCCCGGCTGCAGTTGCCTACCTTTCTGGACACCCAGCTGTGATTTCCCATCACATGTTCTAGGGATCCCACCTTTGCTTCCAAACCTCCTCCTCTCAACTTCGCTACAGATCAAGGTCCCCTCATCTTCCCAGTCCCCAGCTTACAGTGTGGGACTGTCTTTGTTTCTTTTCTCTGTTCTCCTCAGGAGCTTTCTGATCTTTCCTCACCTCTAACTCCACTGCCACTGCTTTACTCACCCAGCAGCTTTTGTCCGAGGTGTTGAAAGGGCCAGCTATGATTTCTAAGCTGTAAGCTTTGTGATTTTGCTCTCTTGTAATATCCCAGTAAAGTCTTAAAAAACAACATTTCCCTGGGCTTGTCACAGCTCTGTGTCCCGCAGGCAAATGATTCTGTTTGGGATTCAGTGACATCTGTCCTAGACCATCTTCTAATCTTTCTTGCAACCCCTGCCCTGCAAGTCTCTCTCCCAGCTCTACTCTCTACCCAGCCACTTTATATTCCTATTCAAGCACAACACTTAGAACCATGCACTTGTGTAAGTAACCCTTCTGAGCCTCAGCTTCCTCATCTACAAAATGAGGATACCTCCTGCCCTACCAAACTACTCACCTCATGGAATGAGCAAATGACCTAATAGGTAGGAAAGCCATAAAGTGAAATACCTGTGTCAGGTATGATCATTACTTGTACATACACTATCTCAATTCCCAATCAGATGCTGTCTTGTTATTTCAGTGTTCCTCACGTGAGTCTGACATACTTTTAAGTTCCTTGGGGAAAGGGACAGTGACAACGACTAGATGATGATTATCCATTGCTTCAAGCACAGGGCAGGGCACATGGTCTGCAGTCAATATTTGCTGAATTTACATATGATTGTACAAACAGTGGGGCATAAGAGAGATGAACATAGACAGGAGCAAGGGGAAGAGAAATGTGCATAACGAATAGGGAAGTTACATTCTGGGGGTAGAGGGGAAGGGAGGGAAGACAAAGGCTGAGATGATGGGAAGGCAGACGATCCTTCCTGCCAACTTAGAGGAAACTGGACTCTGAAACTAGAGGCCAGAAAGGACTGGTGTAGGGAAAGAGTGCAGTGGGCATTAGGGCAATGAGGATGAAATGCAAGATATGAGGAGAGGCAGAACAAAGGAGTATCTAGTATAGAACTGGCACTTAAATATTTATTGAATGAATGGACTGTCTGGGAGAGCAATCAAAATTGAATTCTTACCACACTGAGGCCAAGAGGACTCTGTCTTTTTTGAGCTCCTGATTCGAGGACCCTCAGTTCAGCTTTCTCTTAGGTTTCTCCCATTCCCTGAATTTAGCAGCTGACCATTCTTGACCTATTTGGCCTTTTCATAATTTCAGCCCCAACTTAAGAATTATCATTCAGAATTCTTCCTTGTCTCACCCCTGTTTCTCCCCAGAGCAGGACCTCATCCCACTCCAAAAGCCCTGTGTCAGTGGCCTGCACCCTATGCTGATATGGGAAGCCAAGGTCCAGGGGCCTGAGCATAGCTTCAGGCCTCTGATTCAGCTCATACACAGGGACAGAGGGGTAGGATACCCACCTGCTTTTTTTTAAATCCTCGCCTGAGGATATTTTTTTTATTAATTTTAAAGAAAGGGGAAAGGAGAGAGAAAGAGATAGAAACATCGATTAGAAACATCTTTAAAGAGAGAGGAAGAGAAAGAGAGACTGGGAGAAACATCAATGTGAGAGAGAAACGTTGATTGGTTGCCTCCCGTATGCACCCCAACTAAGTATGTGCCCTGACCGGGAATTGAACCTGCAACCTTTTGGTGTATAGGATACTGCTCCAACCAACTGAGCCACCATCTGTTCTTGACCTCAATGTCCCACCACATGCACCTCAAAGTGCTTCTCTTAGCACCTTAGCTCTACATTCTATTTTGACCCAAAGGTTGGGCTAGGGATGACTGTTCTCTGGTACTGGCCACCCACAGTTACTAGCAAAGGAGAGGCATTCCTAGGCGGCACCAGGCCCTTCCCACTACCCAGGTCTGGGGTTAGGTAAATGGACTCCCCACCCCAGCCCCAAAGCACTGAATGGGAAAGGAAAGGATCCATTTATTTATTTTTAAAAATCCTCACCCGAGGATATATTTTTTCATTGATTCTAGAGAAAGAGGAAGGGATGGGGGAGGGATGGAGGGAAGGAGTGAGAGAGAGGGAGAGGAAAAAAAACATCGATAAGAGAGAAACATCCATTGATTGCCTCATGCACGGGCCCTGACTGGGAATTCAACCCTGGACCTTTTGGTGGACGGGACGTCGCTCTAACCATTGAGCCCAACCAGCCAGGGTAGGGAAGCGCCCTTTGGCTGTCAGGGCTGGCTCTCACAGCCTTCAAGCCTCCCTCTGTGGCTCTGTGTTTACTGTGTAGAGTGACTCAGGATGACCTCAGGGTGATGCTTTTTGTCCTCACATCCACCTGTTCCTATTAATGGGTCTTGGTCTCTCGTCTCTAGTTTTTTAATTCAGTGGGGATATGGCGGGACCTACAGGAGTTCTACAGCTAGAGTAAGCTCTTCGGGTATCTGCAATCCTTGGGTAGGGAGTGCGGGGGCAAGGGAGACACCAGGGCAGGCTCTGGAAGGCTATTCCTAAGAGCTCTGGGGACACCTACGGCAGTGCCTCTCTGATCAGAGGGCCAGTCTATCTCAGAGTAGAGTGAGCAGCAGCCCTCATCACCCTCTCAGGATTGAGAGAGCTGGCAGCCTTGGAACTAAAGCGTGATGGGTGCTGGACTGTAATGAGGTGTGCCTCAATGAGGTACTGAGAATACTCCAGCTGCTCAGGGGATTCTGAGACCCACCCCCGCCCAATAAAACAACATTGTGTCAGTACCTCAGCAGCCACACTATCCTTTCCTATCCTACAACACAGAGCTAACTCCAAAGACCAGTTTTTGGAAAAGAGGGAGTATGTGAGAGGGAGCTTAATGGGAAAGGCTGGCTGCAGGCCTAGATGTTTCTGCTCTTTCCTACTAAAAAGGCAAGTTACTGGGAGTAAAAGGTTGCAACAAGATGTGACCTGGTCTTACTCTTCAAAATCAAGGCTTAGAATCTGTTGGGGATAAAAGCCACTTGATTGGGTCAAGGCACATCCCCGCTTTCTCACCCCTTCCCACTTCTGCTGGAAGTCTCGCGCTGGAACCACGTGAAGCCCAGGGTACTCTAGGCAGTGGGATCTACTCACCTCAAGCCCATGCCCAGGTGCTTTATCAGGTTGCTTAGGGAGATGTCATTGGCATTAAAGGGTTTCCTCTTCTCGGCAAACTCATGAGCCAAGCAGATGCGCCAGCCAAAGGAAGGCACCTGGTAGCCCTTGGCTCTGCCCTCGTAGGAGGCCATCAGCTGCCCAGGGTCCTCCGGATTGCTGTAGCCCAGCTCATCTTGGGATCGACTGTCCTCAGGGCTCTCGCCGTCAGTGACCTGCACAGCCTCAGAGTCTCCAGCGTCTTTAGCGCAGTAAACCTGTGGGTCCCCTTTGGCACAGCTGGTCTGCTCCGAGGCGGGGACTCCGGTCCCCATGCTCCCTGGATCCTGGGTCCCCACGACCTCGATGGCCCCAGGTCCCGCGCCTTCTGATACAAAGTATCTCGCCAGCCAAGTGCAGAGGCGGGTGCCGACTCTTGCTAGGTGCCGTCCTGGCGGGCCGGCCGCTGGGGGAAGCTGCGGTGAGCAGGTGTCTCCGTGTAACCCGGGAGCTGAGGCTGCAGCTGCGGCGGAGGCGACAGCAGTGAAGCCGCCTCGAGCTCCCCGTCGTCGTCTCTCCGGGGCCTGGGCGGGAAGGGTCGGGCCTCGTCGTCATTGGGCCGCGATGATGAGCGAGCCCGGCCAAAGGGCGACGACTGGGCCAGCGGAAAGGGGAGGGGCCGGCCCGCGAGGCACCGCCCCCGGGACCGGCCGGGCGCGCGCGGCAGCCTCCGCCTCGTCCCCGGGCCGCGGCACCGGGTCCCCCCGGGCTGGGCGCCGGGTCCCGCCGGCCGGGGACTGGACAGCGCCGCGCCCAGGTGCCAGGCAGTGGGAAGGTGACCCACGGCGGCAGGACGCGAACCCCTTCCGGTCCGGCCCGCCGGGCGCTTCCGGCAGGAAGGGGCTCGGTCCCGGGAGGGGGCCGAAGGGAAGTCCCGCCTCTACCGCGGACTCCGTCACTCACGGGGCCGGGACGGGAGGGGCGGACAGGTGAGGGCCTCCGTGCGCCGAGAGCCCCGCTTTCCACCTGGCGAGGTGCCTGGGCTGCGGGCGCCAGGGGACGGGGGGCTGGGGCTGGGACGTGGAGCCTTGGGGGCGGGGGGCAGAGGCCGGGCTGGGGTTAGGGAGGAGGGGGACGAACCAGGTACTGAGAGGAGGGCGGGCAGCGGGGACCCGGAGCGACGCCCTCCGCCTGGGCAGCGCTGGGCCAGCTGGCCCTACCGCCCATCCGCTCCCGCACCCAAAGGCAGGCGCTTCCCTCCGACGCCGCGGTGCTGGCGCCGGTCTTTTGCGTCCTCACCCCCAAGCTCCTCGCAGACACCCCTCCCTGCCAGGGGACTGACTTCTGACCCGCTTCGTTTCCTCCCAGGTCCGGTTCCGGAGCTGACATGATCGAAGTAGTGGCAGAGCTGAGCCGGGGTCCTGTGTTCCTGGCGGGGGAGGCGCTGGAGTGTGTGGTGACGGTCACCAACCCGCTGCCCCCCACGGCCACCTCGGCATCCAGGTGGGAGTGCTGGCCCTGAGGTGGTCCTCTGGCAGGAAGCCTGGTGTCTGCAGTGCGAAGCCAGAGCTCAGGTTGCCCTGCAGCTACACTGCCACCTTCCTGCGCATTGTGCTGTCATTGGAGCAGCGACTGTTTATCCGATGGGGTTGACATAGCCCTCCACTCTGCCGTCCTCCCTCCTCCCCCATTCCCTTTTACCCACAGTGCACTTCTCTAATGGTCTCTTTTTCTTTTTATTGAGCTTATTGGTTAATAAAATCATATAGGTTTCAAGTATACAGTTCTATAATATCGTCTGTAAATTGTACAGTGTGCTCACTACCCAAAGGCAGGTCTCCTTCTGTCACCATTTATCCCCTCTTTGCCCTCTTCTACCTTTCCACGCCCCTCTCCCTTCTGGTAATAATGGTTTCCTTTGGGGTCCTGATTTCCTGGCCCTAAGACAGCACCTAACCATGTTGGTCTCTAGACTGTGCTAGGGAGTTGGGAGAGCTCTGGCGAGGTCAGGAACTCCCCTGATGCCTCCTTTACTTCATCCCACAGTGAGGCTCTGGCCTGGGCCAGTGCACAAATCCACTGCCAGTTCCATGCCAGTGAGAGTCGAGTAGCACTGCCTCCCCCAGACTCCAACCAGCCAGATGTTCAGCCTGAGAGCCAGACTGTCTTTCTCCCACACCGAGGTTAGAGACGGGGCAGTTGCCTTTGGTGGGAATGGGGCAATTGTCTCTGAAGGAGAAATTTTTAAGTTGTTCCGGCGGGTCATTATAGTCTCCGTGACTTGGGGATGTGGGGGTTGCAGTTGTTGCTTTGGGGATGTAAGACTGTTGCTATCTCACAACAGGAAAAGAGGGATAGCTTACTGTGAGCTGTCATTTGTTGGCAGTGCTTACTGCCCCCACTTGATGTGCTAGCCTCGTCCAGTACTGGACAATGGGGTCATTAAACTGAAGTCTTTATCTTTTTTAGGTGAGAGGGGTCAGTGTATCCTTTCCACTCCACCAAAAATCCTATTCTGTGACCTGAGGCTAGAACCTGGGGAGTCCAAATCATGTAAGTGACTGTCTCCCACCCCTTCTGAGATTCCCAGAGGGAGGACTTCTCTGGCTGCCTCTGGCTGCCCTGACTACTACTTCCCAACCAGACTCCTACAGCGAAGTGCTACCCATAGAGGGACCACCCTCCTTCCGAGGTCAGTCAGTTAAGTATGTCTACAAATTGACCATTGGCTGCCAGCGTGTCAACTCACCCATCACGCTACTCAGGGTCCCTCTGAGGGTTCTTGTGCTGACTGGTAAGTAAGGGTTCCTGGAGGGAAGGGCTAGGGAAGAGGCTCACCAAAGCAGAAATGGGGTTAGAGAGCTGGTGAGAGGGGCTGGAGGGAAGCTTCCTGGTCTTAGGGCAGGTGCGAGGGGGTTGTAGAGGGCGGGCTCTGGAGAAGAGGTTTAGATGTGTACCCCAGCCATGTCTCCTCTGACCTGCAGCCCTCTCAGGTTGGGGTCCACTCTTACCTAACTTCTACTCTTACCTCTGTTCCCTCCCAGCACTACTTCTCTGCTCATTTTCTTTCTAGGCCTTCAGGATGTCCGGTTTCCCCAGGATGAGGCGGTAGCCCCATCCAGTCCATTCTTGGAGGAGGATGAAGGGGGGAAGAAGGATTCATGGCTAGCTGAGCTGGCTGGGGAGCGCCTCATGGCTGCCACATCCTGCCGCAGCCTCCGTGAGAATCCTTTCAAGATTGTCCCACCCCCTCCTCCCCTCCTGTCTCAGGGGCAGGTTCTCCTAACTGCCACATGCTTCTGAGGATCCACTAATACCTCACCCAGATTATAAAGAAAAGCCCCCCCTTTTGGCTTCTGGCTCCAAGTCCTGACCTAGACAGTCTCCAGTGTGGACTCCAGGCTTACAGTGTCCTATTTCCCCAGATCTATACAATATCAGTGATGGCCGAGGAAAAGTTGGGACATTTGGCATCTTCAAATCTGTATACAGACTTGGCGAGGACGTGGTGGGAACCTTAAACTTAGGGGAAGGAACTGTAGCTTGTTTACAGGTGAGAAGGGAGAGGGGCTTATGGGACGCTGGGCCTGAAGGGCTAGGGTAGCAGAAGGGCCTGCATAAAGAGGGGTGGTATGTATAAGTGGATAGTGGGGTCTCTGGTAAAGCAGGTTGAGGTTGGGCTGCCCTCTCATCTAGAGTCAGCAGTTCCCAGTGCCTGCTAGCACACACTTTTCTTGCTCCCAGTTTTCAGTAAGTTTGCAGACCGAGGAGCGTGTACAGCCAGAGTACCAGCGGCGCCGCGGGGCAGGGGGTGCCCCCTCTGTGTCCCATGTGACTCATGCCCGACACCAGGAGTCCTGCCTTCATACAACCAGAACCAGCTTCTCCCTCCCCATCCCTCTCAGCTCCACCCCAGGCTTCTGCACTGCCATTGGTGAGACCCTGACCATTATCGGAGGTGGGGAGAGAGCAAAATACTGTCCTTAGATACAATGTAATGGATCCTGATTCTTAACACTCAGACATACTAGCCTACATCCAGTTTCTGACCCTTAACACTCAATTAGATCTTCAACCTGTTTCCTAGATGCACTGACCCCTGCAGGCTTAACAGCTTTGGAGCTCTCCTTCCCTACCCATTCTCACCGGGACCCGTGATTCACTGATCGCTGATTCCCGAGCCCCTTGAACTTTAGGCTGTCACATCTTGACCGTCTTACATTTGGGCTCTTAGATTCTTGACATTGCTGTCCTTATTGTCACATTCTGGCGAACACACTAGATTACTTCAAAAAAACCCTTGATCCTAGCTCCCTGTCCTGTGATTTCTCCCCCTCCTCCCAAATACAGGTTTTTGCTAATTTGCTAACCCTACCCTGTCATTGGCTTTTAATTCTAGCTTCTAATGCCTCTGTCTATGTCTTTTTTCCAGTGTCCCTGAAGTGGCGATTGCATTTTGAATTTGTAACATCCCGGGAACCAGGTTTGGTGCTCCTACCTCCTATGGAACAGCCCGAGCCTGTCACCTGGACAGGGCCTGAGCAGGTGCCTGTAGACACCTTCAGCTGGGACCTCCCCATCAAGGTGCTGCCCACAAGCCCGACCCTGGCCTCATATGCAGCCCCAGGCCCCAGTACCAGCACCATAACCATCTGAAACTGGCCCACCACAGCACTACTTTCTTCAGGATCCTGAGAACTCAGCACCTGGACTCTAGTAGGGCCCATTTTTTCCACCTGGGGCCCAATGACACGGACAATAAGAAGCAGGCTTTCAGCTGTAGCATTAATTTATTTATTCAGAATAAATTGGCAGCTGCTAGTGGTTTCCCTGGAAGTGGCAGCAGCAGTGGGCAGTCAGCAGAAGGGTGATCAGTTGAGTTTAGCCGGTATGGGGAGCAGGAGCCCCAGGAACAGGGGTATTAGCCGAGCCCCACTCTGGGTCAGGCCCTCCCCCTTTGCAGGGCAGCCGAGGGTCAGATTTTTGTACCAGGGAGAATTGGCAGGTTCCTGCCTCCTGTCGTACCTCACACTCAGCAGGGAAGTCGATGGGATGCTGGGACCTGGGGACCCAAAGGATGGGGAAGGAGTCAGCACAGTGAAGGGCCACCTTTCCCTCCCCACGTTCCCCTTCTCCCAGCAGTCCTCCCAGATCTTCTCCTGGTGCCCCTTTGGTCCCCCTAACTAAATTCTCACCTACCGTAGTTGGATTTTTTTCATTTCATAGCAGCAATATTTTCCTTCTCGATCCACCCCTACCTTCCTCACTTTGTAGCCTGAAGCTTTCTCTCTCACCCTCTTGTTACCTTCAGGTTTGGTCAGCCTCATACTACTATTCTGTTCATTCTAACTTGACAGAATCTAGTCGTGCCCTGGCCATCTCTCCCATCAGAGCCATTCTCTCTGGCCATTTCTGGTCACTCACGTGTCACAGCAGCCCACACCGACAGGATGCAGGCAGGTGCAGTGGAAGCAGTCCTTGCGGAGCCAGGACTCACCCAGGGTAAAATATTTCCCTTCATAGTGGCAGGGCGCTAGGGAAGAGCAGGAAATGTTAGTGTAAGGGGAGCAGTGGCGGCAGATAGAATCATCCTGGAGTAGGAGAGAGCTCAGGGCACACTCTCCCCATATGTAGTCTTTCCTTTTCTGAGTGGCCCCGGATCATCTCTAAGCCCCCCTCCAACCAGTGAATGCCCTCCGCTCCTTTTCCTTTCCTAATGCCTCACCCAGCGTTACCTTGAGCTTGGAAGTAGCATTTGCTGTGGACTCCTGGGTGCTGAAGGAGCAGAGATAGCACCAAGCAGATGATCCTCCAGCCTCCCAGGATCCCCTTAGCCTGTCCAGCCCAGAACATCCTTAGGGCCATTTCTGGAGCAGAGCCCTTTCGGACCCTCTTGGCTTCTGGTCAGGCTACTCCGGTCTTGTCTCCTTGGCTCTTCTTTGTTTCTCTCCTCGAGTCTTAGTGTCTGTCTTTTCCCCTGGGCTCCCGTCTCACACCATCTCCTTGCCCTCTGCTCTCACAGGCTTGGAGATGTTTATAAAGTGAGGACCCTGGCCCCCTGCTGAGTAGAGCTGGAAAAGCTGTAACTCTGTTTCCTGGGGTGAGGGCATGAAAACAAGAGGTCCAGCTTTAACAAGCTGTGAGAGCTGATTCATGCCCCTGCACAGCTAGGGGGAGGGAGGTGGCCATGGAGGGGGCACTGGACTGGGCACTCCCCCAGCAAGGAGGTGGGAGGGGTGAGGGCCCCCAGGTGGTCCCCAGATCTCTGACCTGGAGAGAAGGAAGCATTCCACCATCTCCCACCCCACCCCACCCCACCATACCACACACACTCTCTCCAGGGGTGGATGTGCTGGGATCCCTGCCTGGACCGGAGGGAGGCATTTCCTGGGGATGGCTAATCCTGTGCCCCAGCCAAACCCAGGAGCTGCTGTAGGGTGCAACGGCCAGAGGCTCCAGGAGAGCAAACAGGCACCTGGAGTGGAGACTGTTTCTCTCAGACCCCAGGGCAGGGTCTCCCTGAAGTATCCTAGAGACATGGCTGCTCCTGAGATGGGGGTCAGGGGATAGGGTGTCTCTTTTCCACAGGCATCCAGAGATGGGCTCTCCATTGTTCATCACCCAAACATAGCAGATACGCGATCTCCCCGTCCGGATGTTTTTTTCAGAGGAACGTTTCCTCCAAATGCTCTAATGTAGGAGTCGCCCCAGTTTCCTAGAGGTGCCCCTCTCTCTGTATGTTATGGAGGGAGGATTTAGGAATTTACCCCTTGACATCCTCTTTTGGGTTTCCTGCAGGTTGTGGAGAACCCAAGATGGGTGATTAAGAGCAAAGGTTGCAGAGTCAGACTACTTGGATTCAGATCCTGACTCCACTTAAGAGCTATGTGACTTTTGGCAAGTTACTTCACCTCTCTAAACCTGTTTCCTTATCTATAAATTGGGATGGTACTACTCGTAGGGTTGCTAAGAATATTAAATGAGATAATGCATGTTATCTGTCCCCAGCACATAGCCCTCAGAAAATATTAGCTACTGAGGTTGGCGCTAGAGCTTAGAGACAAAATGGGTAGATACTCCTTTTAATGACATTGAGCTTCTGCTGTCTCCAGGCATGGACTCATGTCCCTTTCGCACTCATGCTCCATGTCATCCCTACCACCGCCTTCAGAAACTACCTCCAGGAGCATTTTGGTTTTTGGTTTTGGTCTTTGTATCTTTGAAATTCTAAGTGTTTGGTTTGAGCAATGGTGTTGCTGATAAAACTGTTTTCCCTAGGCCAGTGCCCTCACTCCTGCCCTGGGAAGAGAGATTTTCTTACCCTACCAGCTCACTTAGTACTGCTTTTTCTTACGGACTTTGATCCATTTCTTCCCATCCTCACTCATGCAAACTCTCGCGTTCTCCTTTCTGATCACTCTAATGCTGGCTGTCTCTTTGGTACTAATGTCCTCTGGCTAAACTGGATTTCTTTCATTTTTCTACACGCCACAGGCTCCTATTCCAGGGAGTCCCCTCCTACCGACAGGGCCAGTCACTTTGGCATGGATTTTATTTTTCCATCCAAGTCTCTAGTCCAGCCGTGGGCAAACTACGGCCTGCGGGCCGGATCCGGCCCGTTTGAAATGAATAAAACAAAACAAACAACAACAACAAAAAGACCGTACCCTTTTATGTAATGATGTTTACTTTGAATTTATATTAGTTCACACAAACACTCCATCCATGCTTTTGTTCCGGCCCTCCGGTCCAGTTTAAGAACCCATTGTGGCCCTCGAGTCAAAAAGTTTGCCCACCCCTGCTCTAGTCCCATTTACCCCGAGACTCCTTGTCACCCAGTGGATCAGATACAGCGACTCTGGCTGACTTTTGTAGAAGGTTACCCTGCCTCTCAGCTCTTCACTATTCAGAAGCAACTCATCAGTCCACCTCAAACTCCCTATCTGCCCTCTTCCAAGGAGACAGCTTAAGTGGAAGGAGATGCAGACTGTACCACACATCCACCCTCGTCAGGGCTGATAGCCTTTCCACGTTAGAGGAGTGCCCAGAGAGAGAAGGAACCTCATGGTTGAACCAGGGTGCCCTGATGTAGGCTGGCATGTGGGAGGCATGGCCTTGGACTGCTCGGTTGGCTGGAGCAGGTGGATTAGAAGGCCTGTCTACCACAAGGGCCCAGCAGCCTGGTTCGTGGTCAGTAGCTCTGCTGCTGCCTTTCTGTGTGAGGGACAGTAGCTGACACCTGAAGTCTGGATCATGGACTACCTTCTGCTCCTGCAGCCTGGAGCCAGCCTAGTAGGGGCGACACTAGTGGAGAGCTAGGGAGCATGGAGGTGGTGGTGGTGACGCTGGAAGGTGAAGGGCCCAGTGGGGATTGGCATTGATGGGGGGGGCATGGCGACAGAAGTGAGAACTGCCTGTAATGAAGATGAGGTAGGAGTAGGGGGCTCCTGGGGAGAAAGGCTGGGGCTCAGCCAAGATCCCTCTCCCAGAGTCGGGGAGTGGCGGGAAGGTGTTGGTTGAATCCATTTGCATGTCTATTGGTGTGTGTGTGTGCGTGCGCATCTGTGTAGGTTCTTGGGGCTGGAGGCCCAGCTTTTGAGGGTGTGTGTGTAGGAGTGTTAGTTATTAGAGCTCAACCCCGTGATTCCTGATTCCTGCGGCCTCCGAGATGCCAGTTGAGGGGGCGCCTCGGTTGGCGCGGGGGCGTTTGGCGCGCGCCGCCAGCGCGGGGACAGAAAACATCCGCCGGAGGCCCGGCCGGGCAGCGCTCCAGCAGCACCGGGCAGGTGCGCGGTGAGGAAGTGAGCGCATTCCGGCCCCCCAGCCGCCGGCCAGCCCTCGGGTGAGTCACCGCTGACCCCCACCGCCTGGGCCGGATAGGAAGGATTGGCTGCGGCCGCGGGGAGGTTTGGGGAACCGGAGTTCCAGCGGGGTGGCTGCGGGGAGCACCTGGAGGGTGGTGGAAGCGCCCGAGAGAGTTGGGGAGCGGCGAGGGGGTGCTGAACGTCCAGGTTCTGGTTTCGCCCCAGGTGGGAAAGACCTAATAGAGGCCGAGTGCAGAGCTGGTGCCTGAGTGGAGCAGGCGGGAGCGAGCCCCTGGGAGAACGGCCTGGAGCAGGGAGAAGGCCCTCGCGTGGGAGGGAAAGGGGCCCGGGCAAATCCGAGAATCCGAGTCCGGGAGGCCCAGAAAGGGAGGGAGGGTTGCAGCGCAATGAGGACGGGCCAGCTTCCGGACGACACCTCGCCAGTGTAGGTCTTGGCCAGCCAGAGCCTGTAGGTGGAAGGTGACTGCCATGTCAGGTAGGCAGGTGGGGATGGCCAACCCCCAGAGAGAGAAGATCGGTCGGGAGGCCTGTGCGCTGGGCGAGTGAAGAGTAGGTTTAGGGAGTAGGGGGAGTTAAGGTTATTTGGGTACAGTTGTGGATAGGTCATGAAAGGCTTTAAACACACATTTTTATTGATTTCTGAGAGGAAGGGAGAGGGAGAGAGAGAGGAACATCAGTGATGAGAGAATCACTGATTGGCATGTGCACCTACCAGAAATCCAAAGGTGACCTCCTGGTTCATAGGTCAATGCTCAACCACTGAGCCAGGCCAGCCCAGCTCATTAAAGGCTTTGAATTCAGATGTGAGGAATTTGGTTTTGTTGTCTGAGTAGGAAGAGTAGTGAATGGCTTAAAAGGCAAGATTATTTGTATCTAGCTTTATTGCCTGCCATTAAGTCTTTGTAAAAAAAAGAGAGAGAGAGAGAGAGATTTGCAACTTTTTATAGTTATTTTAAATTGCATGACTATATTTATCAAACAATTTAAATCTGTTGAATTTTTTTAATAATTGAAAAATTTGATTCAATTTCTTTTTTTTTTTTTTTAAATATATTTTATTGATTTTTTACAGAGAGGAAGGGAGAGAGATAGAGAGTTAGAAACATCGATGAGAGAGAAACATCGATCAGCTGCCTCCTGCACATCCCCCACTGGGGATATGCCCGCAACCCAGGTACATGCCCTTGACCGGAATCGAACCTGGGACCCCTCAGTCCGCAGGCCGACGCTCTATCCACTGAGCCAAACCGGTTTCGGCTGATTCAATTTCTGATTTGAAATCCAAAGTGAGGCTATCAAGATGTTATATAGTGTTGAGTCTTCCTTTGTCTTGCCTCCATTTTCCCCTCACTGATTTGACTGAATTCCATGCCTTTAATGTCTCCGTTTTCTATATCAGTAGCATAGCCCTTCTAGTTTTCCTCTCCCTCATATTATGGTCTTTATTTATTTTTTTATATATATTTTTATTGATTTTTTACAGAGAGTAAGAAGAGGGATAGAGAGTTAGAAACATCGATGAGAGAGAAACATCGATCAGCTGCCTCCTGCACACTCCCCACTGGGGATGTGCCCGCAACCAACATACATGCCCTTGACTAGAATCGAACCTGGGACCTTTCAGTCCGCAGGCCGACGCTCTATCCACAGAGCCAAACCAGTTAGGGCTATGGTCTTTATTTTTAACCTTAATTTTTTTCTGTTCAGTCCTTTAACTTGCCCTATGTATCCTGAATCAAGAAAAACATTTCTTGGGATGGAGGCATTGGGCTACAAAGTACAAAGACAAGTAACTCTGTTTTACCATATATGTTAGGTTACATACTATCTTCTGTGTCTTTGTATGTAGCTACAAAGTTTCTGTATTTTCCCTGTGGCTGATAAAGAGAGAAAGCTAAAGCAGTTTTTTGTTGTTTTTTTTAAAAAAAAGTATTTTTATTGATTTCAGATAGGAAGGGACGGGGGAGAGAGATAGAAACATCAATGATGAGAATCATTGATCAGCTGCCTCCTACATGCCCTCTACTGGGGATCGAGACTACAACCAGGCATGTGCCCTTGACTGGAATCGAACCCAGGACCCTTCAATCCCCAGGCCACACTATCCACTGAGCCAAACCAGCTAGGACCTAAAGCAGTCTTATTCATGACAGTATTTCTACAGCATAGCAATAAAGTCCAATTTCTCTTCTAAAACCAACTCTAAAATGGTATTTGGTATTTGTCTCAGAAACTCATTCTAATTCTGTTATGGTCTTTATAATTTATGTTACCTTGGGCCAATGGCAATTATAAGGATTAGGATCTTTATAATTTATTTTTAAGATTCTTAAACCCTACAGTTGCCTTTGGCCCCAAACAAGAAAATCTGGGTCAGTTAATTAAAAAAAACACACACCCACTTTGAGCCCAGTTGCTTTCTCCTGTGCTGTTTCAGCTCCAGCCCTACCTTATTCCCAGTGGCCTTTGCCTTCATTCCTTCTTTGCTCTGCTGGGCATCTTTAAAGGAAAACTTCACACCAACTTCCTCTACTATAAATCCTCCCTCCCCTCAATTCTACACTTCTCTTTGCCAACATACACCACCGCTTCTTCAGTGAATTTTTTTTTTTTTTAAGCTCACAGCCCTTTCTGGCTCTTTTCCATCTTTAACACTCTCTTGTTGAAATCTCTTTTCCTCTCCTTTCTCTTTGGGAAGACTTCAGATTTTTAAAAGGTAATGCTCTATTTATTCTGCATGATCCACTTCCATCTTCTTTGCTCTTCTATCACTTTTTTCTTATTCTGGATTGTTTGTAAATTCTGTCATGCTTGCTTTCACCAAGGCTTCGGCCTTCCCTTTGTGATTAAACAGCCTTCTAGATATAGCAAAAATGCTTATGTTTCCTTATTTTTCCTATAAGAAAAAAAGTGTTCAAATTCACATCTACCTCAGTCTCTTTCTCCCGCATTCTGCATCCAGACGCATGGCCATTATTGTAAAATCGACTGAAGCCTGATGTTGGGCAGGGCACTGTATAATGAACTTCATAATCTTAGTGTCAGATTCCTAAATGCTTGCCAGTCATAGAGGTTTTCATGTGTGTGAATAAATGTTCTCATGTACACACTCAGACTAAAATGCACAGAAAATAGAACCATAAGTCAATATAAGTATATGAACATGGCCCTGGTTGGTGTGGCTTGGTTGGGCGTCATCCTGTACACCAAGAGGTCACCAGTATGATTCCTGGTCTGGCATGATCCCCAGTGGGGGTCCTGCAGAAGGTAGCTGATCAGTATTTCTCTCTCTCCCTCTCCATCTCTCTCTCAAATCAATTTTTTTAAATTTTTTATTGCTTAAAGTATTACAAAGGGTATTACATATGTGTCCTTTTTTTTCCCCCACCCTTGACAATCCCCTGGCCTCCCCTACCCCCCAGTGTCTTATGTCCATTGGTTATGCTTATATGCATGCATACAAGTCCTTCGGTTGATCTCTTACCCCCCTCCCTCCTGCCCCCCAACCCTCCCCGGCCTTCCCGCTGCAGTTTGACAATCTATTTGAGGCAGCTCTGCCTCTCAAATCAATTTTTTTAAAAATGGTGGCGTCTGGGCCAATCTCCAGAGACTTGATTTAAAATAATAAATAAAAAATGAATTTGTGTTTAGTATATTACATTATAATCAGACCAAATATATTTTAGGGTGAGAGATGAGGATGGGTAAATTTATAGCTAGAATAGAAGTTTAAGAGACAGCACCGTTGGGCATTCTGTATTCAGACTGGAGAAGGCTGAGAGGAGGGTCATTCCTGTGAAGATGAAGAGACTTCATGAAAGAGGCTGTGTTTCAGGAGCTGAGAGAGACTTGTAAGGCTGTGATGAATGGTAGCTGGGTGGGAGGGAGGGGCCAGAGTTTCAAGAACATACAATTGCTATACCCAAACAGCCCAGTGTTCTCTCTGGCTGAGAATATAAAAGATGCTATGGTTGTAGTTTGGATTTCAACTATAGTTAAGTTTCTATTAATAACCCATATTGAAGTTTTCCTACCCCACCTCTGGAACCATTCTCACCAAATTTTTCTGTTTTTTTCTTTTTTTCTTTTTCTGCTTTCACTCATAATTAACCGCCCTCTAATTTAACTGAATTCCCTATTTGCTTTTATTTTTCCTGCCTGCTCCACAGTCTGCTTATTGCAGTAGTGACTTTTAAAATTCCGTTTATGAGACTCTCACTTTTATCTCATTTATAAATTGCTCTTTTCTTAAAATTATAGACTCAAACTAAATAGGCAGAATGCATCTAGTTCTCATCGCTGGAAGGTGAGCGAGTAGGTTTTGCTTGATTGTCTCTACCGAAAGGAATGCGTTACTTCCTCCTGCAGTGGGGGCTACCAGTTCTACTATCTAGCTTTAGTTATCTCATATTTTCCCTTAGTTTTGCTTTTTGAAACAGTATGGAAGAAATTTTTCTTTTCAGTGTGGCAGCTCTTTAAAGATTTGAAAGGGGTTTGTTTTTTGTCTGTTATTTTTCCCCTCCGGCATGCCCAGTAGAATTTTCTGCACTGATGCAAATGTTCCCTGCCTGTCCTGTCTAATGATTAGCCACCAGCCCCTTGGAAATGTGGCTAGCGTGATGTGACTACGAAACAGAATTCTAATTTTACTTAATTTTAGTTATTTAAGTTTAAATAGCCAGATGAGGTGAGTGACTCTTGTGTTAGTGAGCTCTAAAAACTCTGGAACTTCGTACTTCATCACTGGCTATCTTTTGGCTGTTCCAAAAAAATCTTATGGTCACCTCAAACACAGGAAAACACGCGAAACTGGGCTCTTGTTCTGTTTGGAGGCCAGTCTAACATGTTGGCACAACCTAGAAAAAACACACAAACCTAACCTCTAGAGTCCTGATAGTGTCCGTTTTTTTATTTTTTTATTTCTTTATTGATTAAACTATTACATATGTGTCCTTATCTCCCCATTACCCCCCCCACACACACACACACATACACACTCATGCCCCCACCCCTCTGTTGTCTGTGTCCATTGGTTAGGCTTATATTGATAGTGTCAGTTTTTTTTTAAATTAAACCTTTATTGTTCAGATTATTACATTTGTTCCTCTGTTTTCCCCCCATAACTCCCTTCTTCCCAGTTCCCACCCCACCCTCCGCCCTCACTCCCTACCCACTGTCCTCATCCATAGGTGCACGATTTTTGTCCAGTCTCTTCCCACATCTCCCGTCCCCCCGCCCCCCATAGTGTCAGTTTTTATTGAAGCTTTCTTAGGAGGGGTAAAAGATGAAGGTTTCCTGTTATCTTCCATAACTCAAAGCAAAACTTTCAAAATTCCTTATTCAATCTCTCTCTTTCCCTAAGGGAAAGAGCCCCTGAAGTTCCTCTCCATAATGACTGCCAAATCCCTCTCTTCTCTTTTCTCTCACCAACGACTTTCCTCCTCTTTGAACCTTACTCCTCCATTCTCTGTGAGCACCACGTCTGCCCCTCTTCCCTTTCGAGGAGAGCTCTTAGGTGTGTCTCCAGCTCCTCTTCCCTTTTATGATCTCTGCTCGGTAAATCCAGGGAACTTCTGGACTCGTCTTTCTTGGGGGTGATTGTGGCTAGAAGGTCATAAGTAACTTCTTTTCCTTTCTCACATGACTCTTGATCCCTTCTAAAAGCCCTCTCATTTTCTTTTCTTGTCATTGCTGAACAGTCTTCAGCATTCTTTTTGCAGAAGTTTCTCTAACATCTTTTCACTCCAGATCTATGCTTAACAGACGCTAAAGCTACTTCTTCACAGTTCCTTTATCCATTTGCCTTTTAAAATTATTTTGCTTATATATTATTTTTAATGAGCTTATCACCTCTTCACCAGCCTTCTACATTGCATAGGCTGCTTCCACCGGGGGAGCAGCATTCATTTCCCACTGCTGTCCCCAGTGCCCTTCGTCCCTGACTCCCTTCCCTGCTCACCATTGTTGTCCACGCATCCCTCCCAGTATTGTCTGTTCTTCTCATCTCCTCCTTGTCCATATTTGTAATAACGTTCACTATTTTTAAATGATCATTTTTGTGTTCTCATTTTTTCAGGGGCTCTCCCCTAAGTCTCTGTCCTGTGACATAAAACTGCATGCAGCATTGATCTCTGTGGGTTAGGGGAGATGGGGTTGAGGGGCAGAATATCCTCTCCACCATGGCGCTCATGTGGGCTGGACATTCTGTTGGGGCGGGGAGACTGTCATGTGCACTGTGGGATGTTTAGCAGCACCCCAGCCTCTACCCACTAGACATCAGAGGTACCCTCTCCATTGTGACAACCCAAAATACCTCCAGACAGTGCCAGATGTGCCCTGGAGGGCAACATTTCCCCACCCTCTCCTCCTGTTGAGAACTGCTGTTCTAGAATATCACCTTTCTGAAGTTGATGGATGGTTATACTTTTTCTTCCCAATTTGTGATTTGTTTGCTTAGCCTAGATTTTTAAAAGTGTGGTCTTTGTCTTACTTGGTAGGAGGGAGCCTCTTAAAATTGCAGGTTCCCAATCTCATCCGAGGCCTACTGAATCAGAAATTCTGGAAGTGGAATCTGGAAATAAAATTTTTATAAGGCAGTACCCCCCACCCCTTCCCAAACAGGTAATTCTTATGCCCTGGGCTTGACCTTCCTGTGGTATAACTGCTGCATTACCCACATTTTTTTCCTGCAGGTCTTCCTGGTTGCTCCAGCTTTGCTTCCGCTCTTGGCCTCATGATGCCAACACAAATAGGGAGGCCTCAGGTTACCCGGACAACTGGAGCACAGGAAACCGTAAAGGCGCAGCCCTCCCACAAGGAATCAGACTGTGGCCATGCCCGCTTGCTTTCACCGAAGGGACTCAGTCATACTTCCTACTCCCCATTCTCCAGCTACCCAGTATAGCAGATACCCAGGCCCAAGTCACAGACCCTGATTTTGCAGACCTGGTAGTGGAATATGGAATGAATGGGATGAAGAAAGGTGAATGAAGCTTTTTCACATTGATAGTCCATGCTACCTTGGTGATAATTGAGTTTTGTACTGGTGAGAATTAGATTCCCCTGAAAGTTGATAAGATTATGAGCCGTAGAGTCATTGGACCTTGAGTCTTGGATCTCTTTGCCTTCCTGGCTAGATGTTTTTACAATTGGCTTTGGGTCAAAGATTTAGCAATCTACTTATGATACACTGGGAGCAGTGTATGTTTAGCAAGAAAAGAATAGTCAACATATTATGAATTTGGGTTCTATTTACGTTTCATTACGAAATGACATTTAAAGGAAGATTATCTGTTTTGATTAAGTATTTAAACATTTGTACATCATAAGCGTCTATAGACACAAGCAGCAGAGCTTTTTTTAATTTAATTCAAAATAATGTGGCAGTTAACTGGTTGAACCCACAAGTAAATGAAAATCTACTTGCATTTAGAGGCTTAGAAACTGTTGAATTGATCCAAAACCAGAGTAGGCCACCTCCGTGGACCATGCATGGCAGGTCAGAGCGAGAGAATCAAGGGTGATAAGGCAGACTTGATAGCTCTTTTCAAACAGTTGAAAGACTGTCCTGTGGAAGGGTTAGATTTTTTGGTTTGGTTCCAGAGGTGGAATACAGACCTTTATTTCAGATAACAGTGATGGGGCACAGAATTTGGCTTAATAAGGAAGAACATTTAAATAGTTAGAGGACCTCAAATTGGAATGAGCTGACATTAGGCAATGAATTACTTGTGACTGAATTGTTTATATGGAGGTTAGATTATCATTGCACAAGGTTTGGATGAGATTTTGGACATTAATTTGAGTTTGGCCTATAAAGGGAAGCAGGCAAATTTATTGGACGTCAGTTCACCCTTTCTATTATATGATTTTGTGGCAGCTATTAAAGTTATTACTATTTTCCTGGGTACCTCTCTTTGCTAATTTTACCCCTTGAGTCATTGAATATTAGAACTGGTAGTAGAGTCTTTAGAGATTTATCAAATGTTGTTCTCTAGTCCTCTGGCGATTCTTCAAGAATGCCTCAAGGGTGGCTGAGAGGTGAAATTAAGGATAGCTGGCGCTATTAGCCTGTTAGCCATGCTTCTGTGACAACAATCTTGCCTTTAAAATTTTTTTCCAGAAAAAAGAAAGAGTTCTGAAAAATACTCTTAGAGGCCCCAGTATTCCAAGTTCTTCATTTTATTGACAGGCAAACTGAGATATGGAGCAGAGAAGTGCCTTGCCAAAAGGTCACATAGCTAATAAATTTCACAGTTGGAATTCAAATCTAGCTCTTCTAATTCCAGTCACTTGTGTGTTTTTTCCCCCCTCTACTAGTCTACCTTCTTATAATTCAGTAAAAGTTTCTCTCCATTTCACTGGCCACAACTATAGTCCAGAATTTTATTTCTTCAGCTTTATTATTTCCTATTCGTCACTGAGCTAGTCTCCCTGTTAACCAATCTCTCCTTCTTCTGGTCTATATCATATACACTGTTGCCATGTTATTCTTCATGAAACATGGTCTTCATCATGAGATTTCCCTGCTTAAGAACCTTCTCCATATTGCTGAAAGGAACTTTGCAGCCTGACACATTGTTAACATTCTTTAGGATCTTCATTGTTCAGCTAAGCTGAGCCCAAGTCCATCCTATTATGGGTAATTAATGGGCCATATAATAGTGAGATTAATTGAGCCCCACCCTACCTCTAGACTCCAACTTTGGCACAGTTTTTATGTGTACAGTTTTAATTAGGGATAATGAGAAGATACAAAAGAAATAGAAGACTAGAAAAAAAATAGATCTCAGAAAAAGAAGTTGCATAACAATGTTTTATATAATCCTATTTGAAGTACACATACATCCATAAAAATGAGGTTTATAGAAATTGGAAGAAAACACACCAAATTGATAGCAGACCTGAACTTTGATGAGGTAGATTGAGAAAGGAAAGGGGATGGGGAGGAATAAAAAATATATTTAAAAAAATATTTCTTCCCAGTCTGTGGCTTGGCTTTTTATTTTTAATGATTTTTAAAAAAATGAATATTTCAGTCTCATCATGGCTTCTTTTATATTGCCTTTTTATTTTCTTTATGGAGTCTTTTGAAGAGCATAAATTTTAAATTTTTGTGAAATCTAATTTTTTCCTTCTTTCTTGTATGGCTATTGCTTTTTTGTGCCCTACATAAGAAATCTTTGCTTACACCAAAGTGACAAAGTTTTTCTCCTATGTTTTCTTCTATATCTAGAAGTTTTAGCTTTTATATTTCAGTCTTTTTGTGTTTATGATTCATTTTGATCATTTTCTTAACTTTTTCCTCACAGCACAACAGGTGCAATAGGAAAAGACGAATCTGAAATGAAGATTACCTCTCTCAAAACAGACATGGTAGGATATAAACATTAGCTTTTTCTGTGTATTGTCTTCATCTACTATTTGTTAAGTATTAACGATTCACTAGTAAAATATATATCAGTCACCTACTGGATCAGGCGCTGGCAATACAATGATGAAAACACTAGACAATGTCCTTTCTCCATGGAGTTTACATTTTAATGGGAGTGGTTGTGGGTTTTTTTTTTTTTGGTGTTGTTTTTAAAATATATTTTATTGGGTTGTTTTTTACAGAGAGGAAGGGATAGGGATAGAGAGTTAGAAACATCGATAAGAGAGAAACATCGATCAGCTGCCTCCTGCACACTCCCCACTGGGTATGTGCCTGCAACCAACGTACATGCCCTTGACTGGAATCGAACCTGGGACCCTTGAGTCCGCAGGCAGACGCTCTATCCACTGAGCCAAACCCGTTAGGGCGGGAGTGGTTGTGTTTTAGTGAACATCCCATTGTATGATTGGCAAAGTCAAGAAAATGTTATTGTGATTCCTCAATTGAAGGAAGAATTTCAGTTCCTTGGCAAACTACTTTATCTTCCTGTATGATAGAGCAGGAAGAACCTTTTTCCACAAAGGGTCACTGATTTGTTGAGAAAAGGGACTCAGGCTACATATAATCAGCTACAGTGCAGTATGGGGAGTGGCATCATAGAACAGGGTGGAAACTCATAGTAAGTGAGCTCATGCTTCTGTTACTGTTGAGGAGTAGTGACCAGACAATGCTCTCTTCTTTAAAAATAAAAATACTTCCCATTAATTTCAGAGAAGAAGGAAGAGGGAGAGGAAGAGAGAAACATCAATAATGAGAGAGAATCATTGATCGGCTGCCTCCTGCACACACCTGACTGCGGATTGAGCCTGCAACCCAGGCATGTGCCCCCACCTCCTAGTTCATAGTTCGACGCTCAACCACAAAGCCACACCAGCTGGGCTCTTCTCTTTTTTTAAAAAATAGTCTTTCTTTCCTTTTTTTTTCCTTCAAATTAAAAGATAAAGTTTATTTTTTATTTATTTGTTTATTTTTTTATTTGTTTGTTTATGTTAATCCTCACCTGAGGATATTTTTCCACTGATGCTTATTTCCACAATATCTCATATTTGCTTTTTTAAGGGAGAGTGGAAGAGAGGGAAAGACAGAGATATATCGATGTGAGAGAAGAACGTCGATTGGTTGCCTCCTGCACGAGCCCTGAGGGCTCAGGCGGGGAGGTGGGGGGAGAGCCTGCAACCAAGGTATATGCCCTTGGAATCGAACCCAGGACCCTTTGGTCCGCAGGCTGTCACTCTGTCCATTGAGCCAAACTGGCTAGGGCAGTACTCTCTTCTTTAATTAAGCAAAAACACTTTGTTTTTTGTTTCAGTCCCATTTTTAAAAATATATATATTTTATTGATTTTTTACAGAGAGGAAGGGAGAGGGATAGAGAGTTATAAACATCGATGAAAGAGAAACATCAATCAGCTGCCTCCTGCACACCCCCCACTGGGGTTGTGCCTGCAACCAAGATACATGCTCTTGCCTGGAATCGAACCTGGGACCCTTCAGTCCGCAGGCCGAAACTCTATCCACTGAGCCAAACCGGTTAGGGCTCAGTCCCATTTTTGGTTTTTTTTTTTTTTTTTTTTTTTTGCCAAAAGAGTTCACTGATAGTATCTTCAGAGAACTGCTAGACCTCTTCTGGTGGCCAGAGCACCAGGTATCTCTATAGCTAATCATTCACATTTTCTTTAAAACAAGTCATGCTCTGTGTTAATGATACCACCTTTCTTCAAGCCACTTCAAGTGTCAGTAATAAGTGCTATTTGCTATCAATATTTATAAACCAAAAAAAAAAAAAAAAAAAAAAAAATTTATAAACCAGTATTAATATTAAGTAACCAGGTAAATGATGTTAATTCAAAGCAGGGTAAAGCCACTATAGCCCAGGTGACTTTCATAGAAGAAATAAAACTTGAACTAATTCTGAGAGGATTTTGGTAGATACAAGTAAAGAGGGCAGATTAATTTGGATTGATGGATTTGAGGAAGAAGAAATTAATGATTGTTCATGGTGTGGCTCCCCTATCATCCATCCAGAGCAGACATTATTAATCGATCATGCACTCATTCTTGCTGAGCGTGGGCACAGACTGGTAAGCCTGGAACTAGATATTGGGGGGGTGGGGGGGAGGGAATGTAGATTTTAAATGGAGAGATATTTTGAAAGAGGCATCAGTGAAACTTCTTGAAAACGTCTGACCCTGGAAGTCAAGATGTGGGGCATTTTCATGTGCAACGGGGAAGCCCTTGGTGCAGAGACTACAGGAACAGTTTCTGTTGCATATGTGCTCAGTACACAGACATTGGAAGGGTGTGATAGGCATTACAACCAGACTCAGAAAAAGAATGCCAGGGGAAGACAGTACAATGGATTCTGCCACAGGGCACCACTCAGGGATCCTAGAGTTATACCAGCTACAGAGTTGGGCCATGATCGCCAGCAGTGTAAGCAGCAAACAGGGCGAAGAAACATTGCCCTGGGTATAGGAGGCCAGAGGACCACTTGTTCAAGTTCACCTCTTTCCTGCTGCTGTCACTCTGTCCATTCCCCTTCCCCTCGTACATCCAGATCCATCTCAGGCAGAGAAGCAGGGGAGAGGCGGCTATCTGAGAGACCAAGCAATTTTTATTCAAGAGAGTCTGAGCAGTGCCTTAAAGACTGTCTAAATGATCAGGTCAGACTATGTTAAACTGATCTGAGGACTTCTGAAAGGTGTGGGCTCCCAGCTGTGAAGATGTAGTAGACCTTTAGGTGAATAGCGTGTACCCGTTAACTCATACCGTCTTTGATGAGGTAAGGCAGGACTGATGCAGGCCTGTGTCCCTGTTCCCCTCTGAGGTAAGTGAGGATAGATGCCAGAGGCATGTGGCCTAGCTGAGCAGGTAGCTCTGCATGCAGCTGCAGGGGCTGCTTCCTCATGTGTACCTGCCTCAGCACCAAGTGTCCCAGCACTGGCCGCACCCGTTGCTAAGGAAGAACCATGTGATTGAAGCCCATCCATGATACCTGACCCTGTCAAGCCTGTGAGGACGGATTCTTGTGGTCTGCTATTTCTGTCAGCGCCCACCTTTACAAAAAAATCTTCTTTATTAAATTTTGAGAGAAAGAAACATTGATGTGAGAGAGAAACATTGATCAGTTGCCTCCCACATGTGCCAGCAACTTGGTATGTGCCCTGACCAAGAGTGGAACGCGCCACCTTTTGACGAATGGGACAATGCTCCAATGAACTGAGTCACACCGGCCAGGGCTGTCAGCACCTACCGTTTATTTCTCCTCATCTGGAGCTTTCTACCATACGCTTTTCTCCTTGCCAGGATTAGTCAGAAATTAGCCCAAAATTGCTGTCTTCCTATTCCCAAAATCTGTGACCTTTATGTTCTGGGTACTGGATGCAAGGGATGCCTGTTGCCCTGATCTTATTTCAGGACCTCTGACTAACACACCCTGAGTGTAAAGAATGAATTTGCAAGCCCAGTGGCGTCTTGCAATTCCTACATCGGAGAAGCTTAAGGGCAGAAATCTGACTGGAAGGGGAGGGAGGCAGATTAGTCTTGAAGGTGAGTCCACAGAGTAATGTGATTTGCTGATAAGGACTGACCACCAGAAAAGTAAAAAATATGTGACTAATAAAAATATGTACTTTGTTGCCTGACTGGTGTGGTTCAGTTGTTGAGCGTCGACCTAGGAACCAAGAGGTTACAGTTCGATTCCCGGTCAGGGCACATGTCCAGGTTTCTGGCTCGATCCCCAGTGGGCGTCATGCAGGAGGCAGTTGATTAATGATGTTTGTCTTTCGTCGATGTTTCTATCGCTATATCCCTAAAAATCTCTCTCTAAAAATCAATAAAAAACATATTTAGAAGAAAATATGTACTTTATTCATAAAAGTGAGCTTTGTAAATGTGGAATCTAGGACCTTTTTAAGAATCTTCTGTTGGCTAATTATTTCATTTGGTTTCTTGCATCCCCAAACAAGGTATGACACCATTAACCTGACCACTTTAGACACGTGCTTTGCTCACTATTTATTTATGTATTTTTATTTGGTTTATTTTATGGGGAGGGGAAGGAGTTCACTGCCGTCGATGCCTACAACTCTTCCTCAGATGCTCCAAGCAGTCGTTCCCGTTGTGAGCTGTACTGTAAAACCCTATCATTGCTGTTGGGCAACATCAAAATACCTTACATATGTAGCAATGACGGCGCACATGCCCACACCCAATGAAGTAAGGTCATGCCACTGAAGTTATCTCCATTGAGGTGGCAGGTGATGTCATGACTGTGGATAAACTCACCAAGGAAGTGAGTATGGAAAGGAGAATGCAGAAAGCTGAAACTTCGGCATGGGGGTGGGAAGCCTACAGCTCAGAGGAGGAAGAGGGTCTTGCTGGAGTGAGAGAGCACTGGACAGTGAGATGGAAGAATGGGATAATGAGCTGTGGCAGGAGCCATGGGAAGAGCTTTAAGAAGAAGGTGATGGTCCACAGTGTCAAATGTGATTGAGGTATAATGGAGGGACTTACTATGATCTATAAACTGGGAACTTCACTGTGTTCTTCCTGATTGTTTATAAAAATTTTACACTAGGCTATTTAATTCAAGTATTTATTGAGCTGCATACTAACTGTGGTAGGGCTGTATAAAAGAGGTATAAAATGTTTTAAGTAATATATCTTTGTAAACAAATATACTGGTAATTTATATATAAAAGCTACATTAATTTTCATTGGTATATTTGTTAAATAGAAACTACAGACCTATTTCAATAACATAAAAAATATTTTGGTATCCTTTCATCCCCGTGATACCGTTTAAAAGAGAAAACACCCTCATATTTTTCTTATTACAAAAGTAATACACAATCATTGAAAATACAATTAAATATAAAATTCTAACTCATACTATCCCCAAAGACAGCCGTTCTCAACATTTTGATTTATGCCATTCCAGGTTTTGTGTGTGTGTGTGTGTGTGTATTTTTAATGAAATTGGGTTCATTCCATACATCTTTCAACCTATTTTCACTTAATGATGTATGGTGAACAATCTTTGATATCATATATCTCTGAAATAATGTTTAATGGGCTGCTTGGATTTTAATGTATAAGGATAATATAATCTATAATAATAAAAGTATAATATGCTAATTAGACCAGACATCCTTCCAGACGACCTTCAGGACAAAGCCGGGGCTGTGAGGGAAGCCTGGGTCCCAGGTGCCTGCCAGTGGCCATAGCGAAGGCCGGGTCTTGGGTGCCGGGTGCCAGAAGGAAGCCTGGGTCCCAGGTGCCGGGTGCTAGAGGGAAGCCAGTGCCGGCAGCCGGGGGAAGGAAGGCCTACTCTTGCATGAATTTCGTGCATCCGGCCTCTAGTTTAATTATACAATGCCCTATAATTAGAAATTTAGATATTTCCTAACTTTTTATTATTAAAGACAAGACTGTTGAGTATCTTTGAGGTGAAAGCTATGCTTTTTATTTTTTAACATCATTATGAGAGATGCATACGCCCTGATGGGGGGGTGGGGATTGAACCTGCAACCCAGGTACATGCCCTTGACTGATTCTCTATCCACTTAGCCACACTGGTCAAGGCTAAGTCTATGATTTTCTTTAGCTAAATTCTTGAAGTGGAATTGATGGGTTAATGCTAAAAATATTTTAAAAGCTTTTAATGGAGATTGCCAAGCTGCTTTCTAACGTTGTACCAGATCATACCTTACTAGCAGTGTACGAGAATACCATTTTCCCACACACTTGCTAGCATTAGGTATTATTGCTAAAACAATTTTTATAGATGAAAAAATAGTTCTTCATTTAAATTTTATAGCCACTTAAAGTTATATATATGTATATACATATATATGTGTGTGTGTATGTGGTAAATAGTGATTCTTTGAAGATAAATTTTATCAAAAGAACTAAAAATTATTCTAAATTGGCTTAATGAAGTGAAGGATCAATCTGGATGCTACTGTTTGTTTTTTAATTCTCACCCAAGGATTTTTTTCCATTGATTTTTAGGGAGAGTGGAAGAGAGAGGAAAGACAGAGAGAAACATCAACGTGAGAGAAACAGTTCGATTGCCTGTACGAGCCCTCACCAGGGCTGGGCTGGGGAGGAGCCTGCAACCAAGGTACATGCTTTTGATCGGAATCAGATCTGGGACCCTTTGATCCTAAGGCCGACGCTCTATCCACTGAGCCAAACCAGCAAGGGCTGGGGGCTACTGTTTTTAACTGAATGTAGATGTGACTCTGAAGTGGTCACATTTCTGTTCCGTCACTTACTAACTAGTAGTTTTGGGTAGTGGTAACGTCTCTAGGTTTGTGTCTTTACGAAATGGGGACTATAATAGAACCTGTCTTAGAGGGCTGTTAGGCAGGTTAAATAAGATACTAGACGCAACACTCATGGCACATTGTTGGCATAGGCACAAAATAAACACTAGAATGCTCACTAGTGAGGTTGATTTTCTGTGTGACTCTCAGACTGGTAGGAGGCAGCATCACAAGGGGGAGTTTAGAGTTTTTTAAAGATACCATTTTGGGAGTAACCCTCTAGACCAGCCGTGGGCAAACTACGGCCCACGTTTGAAATGAATAAAACTAAAAAAAAAAAAAAGATCGTACCCTTTTATGTAATGATGTTTACTTTGAATTTATATTAGTTCACACAAACACTCCATCCATGCTTTTGTTCCGGCCCTCCGGTCCAGTTTAAGAGCCCATTGTGGCCCTTGAGTCAAAAAGTTTGCCCACCCCTGCTGGGGTCCAACCCCAGCAGGTCCAGGGGTCCCCAAAGGTGTGGACGGAGTTGGCGAAGAAGGACTGACACGGAGACAGCATTCAGTTAATCAGCAGCCTTGCCAGGATCTCTAGCCAGGATCTCCAGCCAAGTTCTGGTCTGGATCTCCAGCCAAGTTCTGTTCAGGATCTCCAGCGAAGTTCTGGTTAGGTTCTCCAGCCAGGTTCTGTAGCCATGTTCCCTCACTAGGTTCTCCAGCCAGGTTCTGTTCAGGTTCTCCAGCCAGGTTCTGTAGCCATGTTCCCTCACTAGGTTCTCCAGCCAGGTTCTGTCCAGGTTCTCCAGCCAGGTTCAGTCACCAGGTTCTAGTCAGGTTCTCTTGCCATGTTCTATCCAGGTTCTGTAGCCAGGTTCTGTCTCTTGGTTCTTCAGCCAGGTTCTCTTGCTAGGTTCTGTCTCTAGTTTCTGTCCAGGATCTTTTGCCATATTCTGTCCCTAGGTTCTGTGTCCAGTTTCTGTCCAGGATCTTTTGCCATGTTCTCTCCAGCGAAGTTCTTCTGTCTCTAGGTTCTGTGTCTAGGTTCTGTGTCCTGTTGTCTTGTTATATCTGTATTTATACCAGTTGATTCCAATCCTATCAATCTCTATTCCAAAGGTTAGGGCGTTTCTTATCTCCATTCCAGGGAGTAAAGATTATGTAGCTTAAGCATGATTGTTCGTAGTTAAAGTGATTAATTACCCGCCTGGCACTTAGTTAAGGGGTTTTATTCCCTCCCTAACTTCAGGGGAAAATCCCTACCTGGGGAAACAACCTTTCTCAGAGAGGTGACCTTGGTTAAAACACATAGTGCCAAGAAGGTGAGCAGACATATTAAGAACAGTATGCCATATATGCCGGGTCCCTTGAAACAGCAAGGATGGACCAGCTCCCGGCACACCCCTGCTCTAGACTCTGAAGGATAGTGTTCTTCCCATCAACAAGATATAAGATGACTCAAGGGAGGGAGTCATGAGCCTAGTAGGGAGTACTTTCCCCTCTCTTGCCCCAAACCAAGCAAGAGGGTATCAGAGAGCATATACATAAAAGAGAGACTGATCTCTCATTCCCTGGTTAGACTATGTTTGGACAGTAGACTTGGTAGGCTCTGCATCAATCTGAGAAGAGGAAAGGAAATTAAAGAGAGGTGGAAGGACTGGGCAGTGGTGATGGCGGAATAGCTTGGCTTAGCAAAGACGCATGAGTTTCTTGTGGTCAAAGGGACCCTGGGAAAGAGAGCTGGACTTGAGCATCTTTCCGGTAGCCCATTTAACAGGCTGCCTGCTGGACAGAAGATAGAGGGTTTAAAGGAGATGACTTGGAGCAGGGTTGTTTGTCTACATTAGAGGCCTCATGGAACTTCCTAAAGAACATACACAGTGCTCTGTAAGAGATCTGGCATTTTGACATCTGCCTGGAAACAGACTGGAATGGCCTGTCATCTACAACCAGCAGTGGTTTGTGTAACTACTCTGTTGACTGACGAGACTATTATCTCTTTCCTCTCTGTTTCCTTCCTGCTGCCCAACCCCAGAAGAGCTAGAACCCCTCTAGAGCACCTTCTAGAGAATTAGAAGAGGAAGAGGAGACGTCATAGAAGGGACCATATACTCCTCCTCACTTCAGGCTCCTTAAGCCATGGCTCGGACTTGGGCTGGAAGAGGGGAGGAGATGACTTCTACCTTGAACCTGAGATTGGAGTTTAAACCAATTGGGCTGGAGTGAGTTCTCACGTAACCAAAAGGGAGCAGAGAGGTGTGGAATCTGTTCATGCTGTTGTGACGAGTGGGAAGGAGACATTTATCATGAATTAGATGAAGAAGACTGGTAGGAGAGGAGCTTATGTTTACATCTCACTGAATTCAGTGCTCAAGAGATAAGTTAAATTTATCACTAAATCCATCCTTGAATCCATTGTCCCATATTTCTCTGCAGTCTCAGAGGAAATATTCCCCCGCCCCTCTTTTTTTTGTAAAGTGAATCCATTCATCTGTGCTCTTGTTTATTCATTGAGAAAACATTTATTTGACTGTAAAATGTCTTGCACAGTGTTGAGGTACAAAGATTAAATATGACAGTTCTTTCTTTTATGGAATACACAATTTAGTGGGGTAGGTAGAAAGTAACTATCTACCTTAAAAACAACGTATTGCCCTAGTTGGTTTGGCTCAGGGGATAGAGCTTCAGCTTGTGGACTGAAGGGTCCCAGGTTTGATTCTGGACAAGGGCACATGTCCGGGTTGCGGGCTCGATCCCCAATAGGGGGCATGCAGGAGGCAGCCGATCAGTGATTATCTCTCATCATTGATGTTTCTGTCTCTTTCTCCCTCTCCCTTTCTCTCTGAAATCAATAAGAATATATTTTAAAAATTTAAAATAATGTATTAAGAGTTATAAAAAGTGGGGTGGAAGGCTTCAAAGAATAGTTAGTCAGAAGTCAAGGGAAGATAAGACATTTCAGGCTGATGAACTAATGTGGCTCACTTAGGGAACTAAGAATAGTTCTTTATGTTTAGAAGGCAGGCATAGCAGCAGAGAAGGCTGGAGAGAAGGCCAGAGCCAGATCTTAATGGGCTAACATGCTTGTTCTCTATCCAGGAGGCCAGCGGTTCTTAACAGCAGCGGTACTGCCCCTGGAGGGGCATTTTAGACATTTGTGGGGTGTTTTGATTTCTATTGCGATGGGAGGTGGATTTTACGGGCATTTTGGTAGTTGGGGACCACAAATACTGGACTCTGCAATGTGCAATGTGAGAACAGTCCCATATAATTAAGAATATATTGTTTTAAAGTAGGTGTTTATTTTTCTACCAACCCCACTAGGTCATGTATTCCACAGGAGAAGAAATGTTATCTTGTTACTCTTCGTACTTCAACCCTGGCAATACATTTGGGATGTCAAATAAATGTCCTGAATTTCATATGACTTAGAGATCCTGAGTTCTGCCTAATTTTTGAACGTTCCACCAAACTTTGTGTAGGGTGTTATTGTTATATACAAATAGATTGGTCTGTTATTAGTTATCCTAACACCAGTGTTTAATCTAGCATGTTTGTAATGTAATGGCCTCTGATCTTACTTCTCTTAAATCCTAACTGACTCATTTCTTATAGTTAGGTACATGCATCTGAGTGCTTCCGTAAGTCTTCTGTAATAGTCATGTCCAACCATTCATGTATTGAAATACCTATTATTATTACTGTCCTTATTCCTCTTTTATATCACAGCTAGGAAGGACACTTTTGGTGTTTTGAAATTATGTGTATAGATAGGTTGTTATCTATGAATTTCATTTTAGATCAATAAAGGTGCTGTTATTTTAAATATTTATTAGAAGAAGGGAGACGTAGGTCTGACAGGATCAAGTCACTATGTAGCCATTGATTTTCAAAACATTATTTTGAGCCACAGAGCTCAAAACTTTTTTGCTCATGAGCTCCCTAAAGTAATAATAACCCTCTCACACAGTTGTAAGTTGAAATCTTACATTTATTATCACAAATTTAAATTTATGAATTGTTAATGGGAGATAGAAAATATTAATCACTTTATAAGTTGAAATAAGCTGAGGATTGACTGTTATAATAGATATTTCATGATAATTTGTTAAAGTAGAATAAAATCTTATTGAATAAAGCACACCAAATAAGTTACTTATTTTTAAAAATATTTTTTTATTGATTTCAGAGAGGAAGGGAGAGGAGAGAGACAGAAACATCAAACACGGGAGAGAATCATTGATTGGCTGTCTCCCCGCATGCTCCCCACTGGGGACTGAGCCCACAACCCCAGACATGTACCCTGACCGGGAGTCAAATTGTGACCTACTGGTTCATAGGTCAACACTCAACCAATGAGTCACGCTGGCCAGGTGGTCACTTAATTTTTTTATCCATGGCTATTATTCAGTGTATTTGAATTTTTTGATGGCCTGCACAACTTTCCAATTACAGTTTTTCATTTGTTTTAAGTCAGGTCACTGAAGTATAATTTACATACAATACAATTCAACTATTTTCATGTGCTCCAGTTACTTTTATTTATTTATTTTTACTCCAGCTACTTTTAAAAAGAAAGTATGTCATTAATGTAGTCTCCTTGGGCTGTGCTGATTATAGAGAATCCCAGCATGGGCTAAACAGCCCATTTCCAATGCCAAGTTTTACCCTGAACAGAAGAATGTACATGGTGGGAAAAGACAGGAAGCCCTATCGGTTTAAAATACCGTGATTCATCTTTAAGTTTCCCTAAACCAAGGTCTTCATTTACATACCCCTTTGCTTGGTGTCCCTGCAGTTTTCACACCCTAGGACAGTTCGTCACCACAAGATTTGGCCTAGGCAAGGGATATGCCTTTCTTTTGCAAAGTGGGAGGACTGTGTGAACACAGGCCCATTCTTGGGCAGATCAGTTTTAGGGAAGAGTCCATGTGGAAGATGAGGATCTGAAAATGCATTCCCTTAAAACCACCTGAACATACATACCCCTTGGAAAATCTTTCTGTGCGCCCCCTGTTTGAGGGGTACCGCCCAGAGGTTTGGGGGTTCAGATGGTGCTAAGGGCAGGGGGCCCCAGGTTTTGGGTCCTGCACTGCTACTTCATCTACAGCAGCTGGGCTTCTTTTCTGTTTTGTGCTTAAGCTTTTATTTGAAGGAAGGGTTTTGCTGCTAAAAATAACAGTTTGAAAAACACAGCTTTCATGGGGAACCATTTAAGGATTCTAAGCAGCAAAGTGACATAATTAAGTTTTTGTTTCAAAAAGTCACTTTGGCATCTGAACACATTGTGGAGGATGAATTGGAGGGAAGTGAGACTGGAGGCCCAGAGAGTTGTCACAGGCTGTTGAGACAGTCTAAAGGAAAACCGTAAGAAATGGCAGTCCTGGCCCGGCTGGTGTGGCTCAGTGGTTGAGCATTGACCTATGAATCAGAAGGTTATGGTTCGATTCCCAGTCAGGGCACACGCCTGGGTTGCAGCCTTGATCCCTGGTAGGGGACATGCAGGAGGCAGCTGATGGATGTTTCTCTCTCATCAATGTTTCTCTCCCTCTCCCTAAACTCAATAAAAACATATTTTTTTAAAAAATGGCAGCTCTGGGCTCCATCCCAGAGTGGTGGCATCCACGTTAGATGGAGCAGGGGCTTCCTGGTTTGCGAATCTTCATCCAGCTGCCTCTTGCATTTACATTTTCTGCCTGGCCTTTGCCTCTGTGACCCCTGCCTTAGAGCAATCTTTCCTCTTTATCCAGTAGATCCAGGCTGCCACCAAGTCTTGTTGTTTCTTCCTTCAAAGTATCTCACATTTGTTCCTCTCTCTTTATTATTAATCCATCATCCCAGACCAGGCACTCAGCATTTCATGATTAGATTTCTCTAGGAGCCTCTTAACCGTCTGCCAGCCAACCCTACATCGCCACAGCTAGCTACTCTTTTGGTCGTACTGACATATTGCAGCCATGCAGAAGAGTACAGTTGTGTCGAATCTTGCTTCAGATTTCTCTGCCTCCTCTTCCAGTCTCTGGCTTCTCTAGAAAATTCTAAGCAGAGCAGAATGAAATAGTGATGAGTACTTTTCAGTTCCCTACAAGCTGCTGTGATCATGCTTCCTTTGTTTCTTTTTATGTGAGATATTTGTAAATTGAGGGCTTAAACGGTGAGGGGACACATGCCACTTTTCTCAGTGAAAGATTTTGTGAAGACAGCAAGTAGAATTTTAAGTGGAGTGGAGAAAAAATAGGACAGAGAATATCATATTTGAGACATTATGCTATCAGATGATCCTCAGGGGTGGTGAGTAATTACTGGGGTTGGTGATCACGGTGAAGGGTGGCAATAGGAACAGAAGGAAGCAGTATAGGTACCTGGGAAAACAGGCCAAGTGTGGAAGAGCCATGGATGCCACTGGCACCTTCCTGGACACTTACAGAGGTGCAGGCCCAAGTGTGGATGGAGCAGACAGGTGAAAATGGGCGCACTTGGAGCTTGAATCATCTTGAAGGTAAATTCTCCTGACAATTCTGAAATTCTTTCTTAGGGATCACTGGCTCTCCATGAAGGTTTTCCATAGAAAAACTACTCTTCTAGACTATCTTTTCACAAAATGTATTTTTGGCCCCTAGGAGTACATTACCAGTTCAACTTTTATTTATTTTATTTTAAAATATAGAGGAAGGGAGAGGGAGAGAGAGATATATAAACAGCAATGATATCATTGATTGGCTGCCTTGAGCCCACAACCCCGGGCATGTGCCCTGACTGAGAATCAAACCAGTGACTTCCTGGTTCATAAGTCGATGCTCAAACACTGAGCCACTGCAGTCAGGCCCAGTTCAACTTTTAGACTACATATCTAGACAGGTAAGTTAGAAGCTGAGATCTGATTTGAAAAGATTTTAAATTTAAAAACTTTTTAACTCTAAAAGAAAGCATTGTGTGAGGGCAAAGTAAAACCCCTTGACCTTTTAAACAATAACAGCAGCTCTTTAAGGATATGGAAGGCGAACTGGACCTAAGCCCAGCTGGCGTTGCTCAGTGGTTGGGCACTGACCTATGAACCAGGAGGTCCCGGTTCGATTCCTGGTCAGGGCACATAGCCAGGTTGTGGGCTCCATCCCCAGTGTGGGGCGTGCAGGAGGCAGCCGATTGATGATTCTTATCATTGATGTTTCTCTCTCTCTCTCTCTCTCTCTCTCTCTCTCTCTCTCTCTCTCTCTCTCTCTCTCCCTCTCCTTCCTCTCTGAAATCAATAAAAACATATATATATATATTTTTAAAAAGGACCTAAGGTCTAGAACCAGACTGTGTGCTGCTATATAAAGAGAGGGAAGTAGGGCAGGGGAGGAGTGTGGCCACATGAGCAATAATGGGGGTTTGACCTGTTTTCAGGATTCTCTCTCTCCCTTGCTGGGGTTAAAAGAAATAATGCAGAATTTTAATAAAGTCTTTCTTTGTTTTCAACACATTTCGCTATGTTTCTCTCTCTTTTTTTAAAAAAAAAAATTCTTATTGGTTTCTGAGAGGAAGGGAGAGGAAGACAGAGAGAGATAGAAACATCAATGATGAGAGAGAACCATGGATCAGCTGCCTTCTGCATGCCCCCTAGTGGGGATCCAGCGCGCAACCTGGGCATGTGCTCTTGACCAGAATCGAACCCGGGACCCTTCAGTCCACAGGCTGACGCTCTAGCCACTGAGCAAACTGGCCAGGGCTATGTTTCTCTTTTGACACTGCTTCTTCCTCTCCCTTATTGAAATGCTGCATCTGAAATGCATCTTTTCTGCCTCCTTTTATCTCATTTCCCATGACTGTTCTCCTGCCTCTGTTGGCAGGTTCTCTTGGACCTGTCTGTCTTGTGTGCAGGAGAGAACGGCATACAATCAAAACCTTGTTCTGCAAGTCAGGTTAGCCAGGCAGAGAGAAGACTGGAAGGTGTTTTATTTCTCTGGAGTCTTACAGGCCTGGAGGCACGGTCTGGTGCAGAACAAACCTGAGGGTCCAGAGTTAGCTGCAGAATCAGGTAAGTCATAAAGCTGCTGAGTGCTGAACTGGGAGGCAGGTTGCAGCATCAAGGCTTGTCATGAGATCAGCATGAGTCTAAATCCCATGGTGGTTCCAGGACCCAGCAAGGGTCCTGAGTGTGACTGAGGTCAGGATTTCCTTCCACTAAGGGACAGTGCAGCTTGGAAACCACAGCAGCTTCTAACAGCGAGCTGATCCGATGCTCTACAGCTTCGTTTTGGATCAGAAATGAGGTGTTTGGGCTGGTCCTGTCCCAGAAGGAACTATAGACAGTGTCTGCGAAGGAGGCATTATCAACCTCACAGAGAGAAAGTTGGATCCTATCTGGCTCAGGCCAGCAGGATCTTTAGATTTCCCAGGCATTGGAATATATAGGTAACCAAAGTTTTCATTTATCTAACGTTTTCAACCCTCCATCCCCAAATGAAAAACAAAACAAAAACCTTTCACTGCTGCCCTAACCAGTTTAGTCTAGTGGATGGAGTGTTGGCCTGTGGACCGAAGGGTCCTGGTTTCCGTTCTGGTCAAGGGCACATACATTGGTTGCAGGCTCCTCCCCAGCCTGGGTCCTGATCAGGGCTCATGCAGGAGGCAATCAATCAATGTGTTTCTCTCACATCCATGTTTCTCTCTGTCTTTCCCTCTCTCTTCTACTTTCCTTAAAAATCAATGGAAAAGTACCTGCCTCTTCTCACTTTCTAGTATTAGTGGCCAGTGGAAGGAAGAGGGAGGGGGAAAGATGCTTGAAGAGACATATCACACACTTGAACTTATTTGGGAGTCTGGGCAACAGTGGTGTTCCAGACAGACTTATCTGGGTCTTTGGTGGCCATTGCTCTGTAAGCATGGCTTCATATAGTGAGTTCCATGAGTCAGCAGAATATCTGTACAGAACGCCACCTTAGAGACCAGCAAACCTGATTTTAGTCTCCGCTCTGCCACCAAAAAACGTCAGGTTGAGGGAGGAAGCTATGTGACTTCCCCTCTGGGACTTAGTTTCAATCCTCTTTAAAGGAGGGGGTTGCACAACATATTTATAAGATTCCTTCTAGCCCTGGCATTCTGTGATTCCGGCAGAGATTGTGTCATTTGGGACTTGCTTCTCTCATTAAGTTGCATATAGTTGCTTGAAAAGTATTATTTGGTTAGCTTGGTCTAAAGTTAGAGCCGTCTCTTTTCCTGTCACCCTTTTGACTATTATATCCTTCTTTTCCTTGCTCAGATAAAACAAAATTCCTTTTCACTACCAGTGTTGGAAGCTGGAACTCCAGTTACCATCCCTCCTTGTTAAAAAACAAGCTGTCTTCCATTTCTACTGGGTTTGGGGCAAGAGACATTTGAAGAAGGGCTTGCCTTTGGTCTTGGAGCCTCATGGATCCAATTATATATGCTCCTCAACGGTAAGGACTGTATCATCCAGCTATTTTTTTTTATTCACCCCTGCCACTGTGCAAGGCAGCCAGTGTTCCATAAAGAAATACCGTCCCTAAGAATAAAATAGCATTAAATTTCCCCCCAAACCACTAGATGTCGCCTTCATCTCAGAGAAACTATGCCCCCTCCTCTCTCCCTGCACCCCCACCTCCCAGCCTCCCTCCTACCACACAGAAGCTCTCTCCGCTGGCAGTGATTTCCGAAGTGGCTTGAAGGGGAAGACAATCTGTGGCTCTTGGCTGGGGGAGGAGAATGGGTTTATGTGCGTGTTCTTTATGACAACTGAGAAAAGCTCCCCAAGGTCTCCTTGCTGTCCCTCCCAGCAATCATGATATCGTCCCTCACAAGCTGTTCCTCAGAATCAGATCCGCACTCCGGATCCGGGGTACCTGGGGTGAGCCTTGTAGGTTGGAAGCTTGGGAGTGGAGTGGAACCCAAGGGGGATAGAGTGGACGTCTGTTGTTGGGGGAATGTTCTGCTTAGTCAGTCCCTGAGCTTTTATGGGGTGCTGGCCTGTGCTGTGTGGGGAGACAACAGAGACAAGAGTCTGTTCTGAGCTCCTGCCCTGCAGCAGATGGTCTGGTGGAAGCCCCGTGGGCTGTGTGGGCCTCGGGGGACATGGGAGGGCACCAGAGGGTGGGGAGGGAAGAAGGAGGTGGGAGCGTTGAGTCCTAAGGAAGGAGACTCATGGGCATTGTAAGGGCTCAGGAAAAATCGATCCTGGGCGCCTCTTGGTCCTGGAGGGGCCGCCTTCCGGCACGCAGGCATGTCTCACGGGAGGAGAGAGGTTCCTGGAATGAGAAGGGTGGGTGACTAGGTGGAGGACTAGCGAGGATCCCAGATATTTGGGGGTTCCTGACTGCTTCCTGGAGGCTGGCGTATTTGAGGGACTCAGCCGAGTTAAGAGGGGACCTACCCCGAGAGGGATCCTGAGGGCTGATAGGAGAGTGTGAGGCAGAGAGAGCCCGGGGGCCACAGGGGCAGGCCCTTAGGTGCAGGGACACCCGGAAACCTCGCCGGCCCGAGAGGCCCCGTGCGGAGACCCCGAGTTGTCCCGGTGGGTTTGAGAGCTGGGAGGACCCGAGGCGGCCCCGTTGGGGGGTGGAGGCTGGGAGCCGGCAGGCCCCGGAGGGTGGGGCCGGGAGGGGAGGAGGAGGGCCTGCGGGGCGGGGGCGGGGGCGGGGGCGGGCGGCCTGCCCGGGGAGTCACACTCGGCCGCCGCCGCCGCCGGCGCAGCGAGCGGAGACGGGCCGGGCCGCGGCGACCTGACCTGGACGAGCGGCGCCGGGGCCCAGGCGGGGGGCGGGAGGAAGCGCCGGCAGCGCCTGCAGCCGGCCCGGCGGAGCCGAGCGGAGTGGGGACACGGGCGGGGCCGCCGCAGCTCCGGATGGGACCAGCGCCCTGGGCCCGTTAGTCCGAGCTGGAGCTCCGGAGCAGCCTTCCCTGGGAGAGTTGCCCCTGCCTTTCTCCGCCCTCCGGCCGGGCCTTGCTTCGCTGCCCGCCTGCCCATGTCCCCGTCCTTCCGCGGGGCGGGCGCCCTCCCACCTTACCCCGTGGTCCACCTTCGCGCCGCTCTCTGCCCTCCTAACCCCTCCAGCTGCGACGGCCCCCCGGGCCTTTCCTTTGGACCGGCCTCCCCCCCGGCCCCCACCCCATCGCAGCCTCGGATGCCCTTTTCCTTCTTAACTTTGGATCCAGAAGCCGACTTCACCCCACGGCCCCCATCCCAGTGGCAGCCCCTCGGCCCCTCCCTCCTCCCGCCACCCCGCTCCTAGTCCTCAGCCCTCACCCACCCCGGGGCCCTCCATCCCCCCTCTCCCCCCACCACTGTGCTCCCTGCCTGCCTGGCTCGCCCTCTCCTCTCCCCTGGCCTGGCCGTCGTCCCCGGTTCCAGGCTGGGTGGTGCTCGGGCCTGCAGGGTAGGCCAGGGTGGCCCCCGGTTCTGGGGCCGGCGGGGCTGCTGCTTCCTCCCCATGGCACTGCCATCACTCCTGCTAGTGGTGGCAGCCCTGGCAGGTGGGGTGCGTCCTCCCTTGGCTCGGAACCTGACGCTGGCGGTGGTGCTGCCAGAACACAACCTGAGCTATGCCTGGGCCTGGCCCCGGGTGGGTCCGGCGGTGGCACTAGCCGTGGAAGCGCTAGGCCGGGCACTGCCCGTGGACTTGCGGTTTGTCAGCTCCGAACTAGATGGCGCCTGCTCCGAGTACCTGGCACCCCTGCGCGCTGTGGACCTCAAGCTGTACCATGACCCCGACCTCCTGCTGGGCCCCGGGTGCGTGTACCCCGCCGCCTCTGTGGCCCGCTTTGCCTCCCACTGGCGCCTTCCCTTGCTGACGGCGGGGGCAGTGGCCTCTGGTTTTGCGGCCAAGAGTGAGCATTACCGGACCCTGGTGCGCACCGGCCCCTCCGCGCCCAAGCTGGGTGAGTTCGTGGTGACGCTACACGGGCACTTCAACTGGACGACCCGCGCGGCCCTGCTGTATCTGGACGCTCGCACGGACGACCGGCCTCACTACTTCACCGTGGAGGGCGTCTTCGAGGCCCTGCAGGGCAACAACCTCAGCGTGCAGCACCACGTGTACGCCCGTGAGCCTGGGGGTCCCGAGCAGGCCACCCACTTCATCCGGTCCAACGGGCGCAGTGAGTGTGGCCGCGGCTCTCGGAGGGTCAGGGGAGGAGGGTCACTGTATTCTTGGGGCTCATCTGCGGTCTTCATGGGCAGGCGCAGATGGAGACAGGTGTGGAGGAGCTGTTTGTGGTGGTTGGGGTCCAGAAGCATGTGGACGGAACACCTGTGTGAGGGCTAGGGCATGACATGATGGGAGCTTGCTGACGTCATAGGCAGATGTAAACAAGGAAGAAGATAGTATGAGGGGTGAAGCTTGTGTCAGGGGACAAGGTGGGGTTGGGGGGAAATTGAATTTGGGGAGCAATGAGAGTGCCCTAGAGTAGTCAATGAGTTGGTGGCCACTTCAAAATGGATGACTATCTGTGAGCAGAGATTGGGATCCCAAGACCCCTTCTAGTGTGGGTCTATGATAAATCACTGAAACATGGATGACTTTATCATTGGGCTTCGGGGTTCAACAGATGGGGTTGGGAAAGACATGTAAAGCTCAAACTGAGAAATTCTGAGCAGCCAGTGCCTTTGAGCCCTGGGAAAGGCAGGGCAGTGGGGGAGTGAGGAGGGCTGGGTGGGGAGCAGCAGGCAGGGGTCTGGGAAGAGGAGGGGCTTCAGGCTGATAGCTCCCTTCCTCTGGGGCTGGGTCAGGCTCTGACCTCGGCCAGATGGTCCACACAGCCCCAGGGTACTTATGTCATAGACTCCCAGGGGAAGGGTGGGGAGCATCTGTTGGGTGGTTGATAGCTTAGGGCACTCTCTTCCTTACTAATGATGGCAGTGCGGATGGTTTCAGAGAGGGGGCTGTCTGGGGACCTGGATGCGTTCTCAGGGTGCCCCCTGTTGTATACCTGCCCCCAGTTGTGTACATCTGCGGCCCTCTGGAGATGCTGCATGAGATCCTGCTTCAGGCCCAGAGGGAGAACCTGACCAATGGGGATTATGTCTTCTTTTACCTGGATGTCTTTGGGGAGAGTCTCCGTGCAGGCCGGCCTTGGCAGGACAATCGCACGTGGGAACAGGCCCAGGCCCTCAGAGAGGCCTTTCAGGTATTATTTAAGCCAAACTTGAAGGAGGTGGGGGAAATGGAGCTTCTTTGGAGATTCTCTGTCTCTCACAAGACCCCACAGGAGCCCAGGAACAGGGCAGGGATTGTGAGCTGCAGGAGTGAAAGGAACAGAGGCTTTTCTAGTCTAGTATCATTCTTTACTACTCCCTCACCTTGGTGAGTCCTTTTCAGTGCGTCTGCCAAGGCTACCTCCCAGGATCCCAGAACACTGACTTTCCTAAGCGCCAGGAGTAGACCGTAGTGTGGGGGAGAAAAGTTCAGGAAAAGATCTGGTCCCAGCTGGTAGGAGGGCATGCACCCTTTTTGGAGGGGCAAGGCGTGATGTGATACAATTAGGTATAAGTGCTAGAAAAGATATGATTGTGTATCCTGGAACAGCACTTAAGAACTTTAGTGGTTCAGAGGAGGGAGCGTCAATGTGGCTGGGGTTAGGGATGGCTTTTATAAAGGAAGTGAGACTGTTGTGACTTTATTTATTTATTTAAATATATTTTATTGATTTTTACAGAGAGGAAGGGAGAGAGATAGAGAGTTAGAAACATCGATCAGCTGCCTCCTGCACATCTCCTAGTGGGGATGTGCCCGCAACCCAGGTACATGCCCTTGACCGGAATCGAACCTGGGACCTTTCAGTCCGCAAGCCGACGCTCTATCCACTGAGCCAAACCGGTTTTGGCTGTTGTGACTTTAAAGATAGATGTCATATTCCTAGGCAGCGTGTGAACGAGGATCCAGGCAGCCTGAGCAAAGAGAAAAAGATTGGAATGGGCATGTTTAGGGGATCAAGAAGATACTGGCCTAACAAGAAAGAAGGGTTCACCTGACATAGGTACAGAAAATAGTGTTTCACTGATTTATGTATGTAAGGAGAGCTCTGAGCTAATATGTAGACACTTGGACTTGACTGTGGATCCTTGAGATTTTTTCTTAAAGAGAAATATAACAACAGAATTCAGGTTGGATTGGAAGAAGAGGAGGCTAGAGGCAGTGAGGCCACCTGTGAAAGGTTAGAATGGAGTGAGGTGATATGACTTTGAAATAGGGTGATGATAGCAGGCATGGAAACAAATGGATTTGAGAAGCAATTTGTAGGGAGAATTGACATGACTCTGTTCATTTCACTCCTCTTATCAAAACTTTCAATGTCTTATTTCCTACAGAATTAAGTCCCAACTCATTTTATTTAAGACCTTCTACAGTCTGTCCTCAACCTACTTTTTTAGTCTTACCTCCTACTGCCCTTCATGCCAAGTACTCCAGCCCCTGACCCCTGGGCCTCTCTGCCCCCACCTTTGTGCTCTTTGATTATTTTGTCTGAATACTCTTCCTTCCCCCAAAATCTCTGCCTCTCAAGATCCTACCCATGAATTGTTCCCTGATCTGCTCACCAATATTTCACTGACTTTTGTATGTAAGTATTTATTATTTATTTATCCATATCCCTCCTTTTCCCAAAAAGGATTTGGGATGGTGTATGGGATAACCTTAAGGTCCTTTTAGCTTGGAGATTCTTTGACTCTAAGTAGACGTTTATGAGGGTTGGACTTAGATGGCCATCTTCTCCAAGGAGTAAGATTTCATGAGTAAGATTTGTACATGTGATTGTGACTGACTAACGTGCATCTGACTGTGAATGAGATTATCTGTTTGCATGCCTGAGTATGACTTTGTGACTGTCACACCTGAACAGGCAGTGGCAGGACAGGTTTTATGTCATAACTTTTGCCCAAAACAGCCTTCTCGCCTTTGTTCATCTGGATAATGCTTGCAGATTTTTCAAGGCTCAGACCGATTATTTTCTCTTCTTGGAAACAATCCCTGAATCCCCCGGTTAGAATGAGTTTCCTACTCTTGTACTTAACTCTGTCTACTGTGGAGTTTATATACTATTCACTCAGTGTTTAATTCATTTGAAGGCTGACTTATTCTCTTAGTGTTTATTGAACACCTGTTATGTCCCAGTCACTGTGCTAGGTATTGATATTCAGTGGAGAACATAACAGATGAAGTCCCTGCCTTTTTGGTGCTTACATTTAGTAGAATAGACAGACATTAAGCAAACAAATACAAACATAAATGGTGATATGTTAGTAAATTTTTAAAAAAGACAATAGACCGGTATAAAGAAGAAAAATAACAAGGGGATTGTATTTAGCCAGTTTGGTCGAGGAAGGTCCCTAGGACCTTCCTGGATGGGAGGATCCCATAGCCTTTGGGATGTATTTTTTCTGTGGAAGGAACACCTCTGTTTCTTGCATGAGAATTTCTATCAGCCAAGGGACCCCAGCACTTAGGGTAGGGGAAGGAGGGATATTGTTAGCTAACAGTTCTATAAATTAATTCCCAGTTTTCCTATTCATTGTAGGCATTATTCAGACAGAAAGACAGAGGGAGAGTTTTCTTACAATACAACAGAAGGGGAAACAGGCAGTTGGGAATATGCTGATGGGAAAACCAAGGTTTGGGGTGGGGTGGGGATAAGGGGATGAAAGGGTGTCCTCTGGCAAAGCTACTCTCGTCCTTTTCCAAAGCTGAAGCAGGGGAAGGGTGAGGGAAGCTGGGTGGTCAGGTCCAGCCAAGGATTAAAGAGCAGAGCACCCTACTCCAGAGATACCTGGCCCACTCGGGTCCCAAACCAAGCCAGTCTGAAACAGGTGGCAGCAGAGGCGAGGAGGCCTTGCTACAGATGCTCAAAGCTTTCCCAGGAGGGTCTCATGTTCAAGGAAGGTCCCAGCTCACGGAGAGCTGCTTGAGGGCAGGGATCATGTTCATCGTTGTATTCCATGTGCTGAGTACGTATTTGTTGAACTGAATTAAGGTGTATGTTGGGGACAGCAGAGAGAGGGCTAGGAATTCGTCTAGACAGGAATAGAGCTGGCAGGTGCTGTAAACCAGGATGATCAACCAGGGAAGATAAGCAGATGCAGTGGAACTGAATAAGCAAATGACTAGGCTCTGAGGACCCAGAGCCCCCGACTGAGCATTTGAAGCCAGGCAGAGGCCACGACCTAGGTGGGGACACATGCAGCTAGGATGGAATAAGCACTAAACCAAGGGCTGTGTGGAAGGTGAACCTCTTGGGGAGACCATTCTTTGTCTTTTTAAGTCACAGTGAACAGGGCTTCCTGCGGCCGCTGGAGCAGGTCGCAGTGTGGGTGGCCCCTCAGGCAGAGGCAGCCGTCTGCTGCCCTTGCACTCTTCCTGGGCGCACTCCTGGCTTCCACCCACTGCTAAACCCTTTTTTTGTGTATGTCTCTGTGTGTGTGTGTGGGGGGGGGGGAGCGGGGGGAGCCTTTGCTTGTTTTGTGTGGGTTTTTTTCACCTGGGATCCATTGTGAAATAGGACATAGTACTTACCTTCACTTCTCTTTGATTCCCGCACAAGCACAGAAACTCTTTAAAGGTTCTTTCTCTTTTTCTTTTTTTCCTTTTCTTTCTTTATCTCTCTCTCTCTCTCTCTCTCCCTTTCCTTCCTTCCTTCCTTCCTTCCTTCCTTCCTTCCTTCCTTCCTTCCTTCCTTCCTTCCTTCCTTCCTTCCTTCCTTCCATTTCTTACTAGCTAGTAACCCCAGCAAAACAGTCTAGTGTAGCAGTTTTTAAAGTGTGGTCTTGGGATCCTGGGGGCCCCTGAAATCCTTTTAGGCAACGATGAGGTCAAAACTATTTTAAAAATTATACTAAGATGTTATTTGCCTCTGTCACCCTCCTTCCATGATTGTCCTGTGGAGTTTTCCAGAGGCTACGTGACGTGTGATGATGTCATCCTCTGGCAGCTGTGGGAAGTGTGCTTGTGTTTAAAAAACTTGTCAGTTTTAATTCCTAACATTGTAAATATGATAGATATAGTCCAAATAAACAAAAGTTCTTTGGGGTCCTCAATAATTTTTAGCAGAGTAAAGGGGTCATGAGACCAAGAAGTTTGAGAACTGCGAGTCTAGCAAACAAACAAACCTCTCTAGGTTTACTGTTTAAAAACATGAAAAACCTACCATTAGCCTTTATATGGAAACGTAAATTGAGTTAAACCTGATCTTTTCCAGCCTTTTCTGACTTTTTCATTGTTTGCCAACAATATCCCACCCCCCATGTTTCTTTTGTTCTTGGAACAGATGTTACTCAACGAACCCTTCCAACCCCATCCTCAGTCCCTCTCTCCTTTTTAATTTTGCCCAAGAGCAGGAGGGCATGAGAAGTGTGTGATCAAGCATCTGAATGCTCCAGTAAGAATAAGAATATTACCTCACAAAGCAAACTCCAGGCTATAATGAATGTACATTAGAAACTGGCTTCATTATTTTCTACCTGGGATACATTGATATAAAATAGATCATATGTGACATGTCTGGTATCTCTGTATGGGCTTTCTGTGGCAAGAGCAAACAAAACTGATAGAAATGACTAGATTAAACCTGTCGTTTCCCAGTGTCACATTTCACAATATATATAGATCCGAGGTCTTTCCCTGAGGTTGCAGAGCCAGTTTCCCGTCCAAGGCAGAGGTCAGTCTCAATGACTGTGCAGGACTGGGGTGGAGGTGGAAGCCAGGGTGTTCATCAGCTAAGAGAGGGGAAATGTGTGAGGCCAGCGGGAGTGAGGCAGACACCCCAGTGAGAGACAGGGACACCCTGACTTGTGGCCAGGGAGATGTGTGCGTGGCTGAGAACAAATGTGTCGTTAACTTATCTATGAAATGTGTGTAGGCGTGTGACTGTGTTTCCTCTGTGACGCATGTCTATTACCTAGTGACGTGTAGGATCGTGCCAGTATGCAGGACCGTGCTGCCTATGGTAGGTGTTCCACACACGTTGAATGAATGGGCTTACGGCTTTTCACAGATGGAATCACTGTCTCAAAGTATTTCCCCCAGTTGTCATAGGACCTGAAATCTCTCTGATTCACAGGGTGGAGGCACTGTGTTTAAATGTCCCAAATAGAAATGTAAACATTTTACTGATACTATTAACAGTAATTAACCGCTCAGAGAGGAGCTGTTGCCCAGTGAGGCCCTTGAGCATGACCAGGTACCCAGAAAGATTGGGACAGAGATGCTGTGAGTGCTGTGGCAGCTCTGTAAGGAGGCCTAGGTGGCGTAGGGGCTTCGGGAAGATGAGGGGCTGGGCTCCGGGGATGGAAGACCAGGCTCCACTGTCCCAGAACCATCCTGTCTACTTTTCATGGAGGTGCGCCAGCCCTCTCCGCAGATGTATTAAACACACACAACACGTACCCCTCACACACACGCACACAACATAGAGTTTAGCATCCTCTCAGCCTTCAGACTCACCCACGTATATTTTATATCATGTGTATTTCACCAAGTGTCCTTTCCTGCTTCCCCTCTTCCCCTAAAATCCATCTTGGACATCCTGTTCACGCTTCCCCATGTGCTGTTGGGACAGATGGTATTGGTCATCACATACCGAGAACCCCCAAATCCTGAGTATCAGGAATTCCAGAATCGCCTTCTGATAAGAGCCCGGGAAGACTTTGGTGTGGAGCTGGCCCCCTCCCTGGTGAGTAGATCTCTTTCCTGAGGATCAGGCCAGGCTTTGAGGGAAGCTGTCCTTCCTGACTCAGCATTAAGCAGTGGCCGTGGAGCCAGCCCTACGTTGGGGGCTGTCCACTTCCGTCCAGGATTTTCCTTCTGCTCTAGCATCCAGTGAGGTAGGGGTGAATCTTAGGAATGAGAGGAGGGAAGAAAGCAAACCAGAAGAGAGAAGAGGTAGAAGGAGACCCCAGCGATGGGAAGGGGGGTGGGGCTGGGGCCTGGCAGGATACTGGAGAGCACTGCTGGAGTTTCCACTCCCAGATGAACCTCATCGCCGGCTGCTTCTACGATGGGATCCTGCTATATGCCGAAGTCCTGAAGGAGACAATACAGGAAGGAGGCACCCGGGAAGATGGACTTCGAATTGTGGAAAAAATGCAGGGACGAAGATACCACGGTAATAAAGAGGGTCAGATGGAGGCCAGAGGGCTGCTATCAGGCTCAGAAGTGGAGTGGGTAGAAGAAAATACAGATATTAGGCAGGGAGGAGAGTTAATAGGGGTCAGAAACATGGCAGAAGTGGACACTTATTGAAAGTGGGGTTAGGGCCCTGACCGGTTTAGCTCAGTGGATAGAGCGTTGGCCTGTGGACTGAAGGGTCCTGGGTTCAATTCCAGTCAAGGGTATGTACCTTGGTTCCAGACATATCCCCAGTAGGGGGTGTGCAGGAGGCAGCTGATCAATGTTTCTCTCTCATTGATGTTTCTAACTCTCTATCCCTCTGCTTTCCTCTCTGTAAAAAAATCAATAAAAATATATTTTAAAAAATAAAAATAAAAGCAGGGTCAGGGACAGACTGTGTGGTAATTGGAGGAACTGTGGAGATAGGCGAGGGCCCTAAGGTAGATCTCAAAGTAAGGGCTATGCTTTTCTATCTCAGGTGTAACTGGACTGGTTGTTATGGACAAGAACAATGACCGGGAGACCGATTTTGTCCTGTGGGCCATGGGAGACCTGGATTCTGGGGACTTTCAGGTAATGGAGGAGGAGGCAAGAAGGAGAGTGTGGGCTCTGCGAGTCCAGCTTTCAAGGGTTCAATGGGGCAGAATCAGAGGAACCAGAGTCAGGGACTGTTTCCTCTGCTGGAGCTGCATCTGGGTGGGTAGGAGGTTGGGGGAGAGCAGCCAAAGAGCGGGGTGCTCTGGGGAGGAGGCTGGTGGGAGCAGGCCTGTGGGCCCAGTCCTTTCTCTCCTCACAGCCTGCAGCCCACTACTCAGGAGCTGAGAAGCAGATTTGGTGGACGGGACGGCCTATCCCCTGGGTGAAAGGGGCGCCGCCCTTGGACAATCCCCCCTGTGCCTTTGACTTGGACGACCCATCCTGTGATAAAAGTGGGTGTGTGCGGGGAATGGGAGCACTCCTTCCTCCCTTCCTTCCCGTCCTCCCTGCCCTCACTGACGCCCCACCTTAGCTCTACTGTTACCTCTACTTCTACACCCCTCCTTACTCTTCCCCTCAAGAAATCTGTCTCCTCCCTGCACCTGAGCATCACCCTCCCCATGCTTACAGCCCCACACGCAGTCTTCCTCAGGGTCCCCTCTCCCCTTTAGCTCCATTTTCAACTCTGGCAATTGTGGCGCTGGGCACAGGGATCACCTTCATCATATTTGGTGTTTCCAGCTTTCTCATCTTCCGGTGAGTTCTGGGCGTTTCCACTGACCTCCCGCCTCCCACCTCCCATTGCCATCCAGCATTCTGGCTGAGGCCAGGTAGTCCCTATACCAGTGATGGTGAACGTATGACACACGTGTCAGACGTGACACGCGAACTCATTTTTTTGGTTGATTTTTCTTTGTTAAATGGCATTTAAGTATATAAAATAAATATCAAAAATATAAGTCTTTGTTTTACTATGGTTGCAAATATCAAAAAATTTCTATATGTGACACGGCCCCAGAGTTAAGTTAGGGTTTTTCAAAATGCTGACACGCCGAGCTCAAAAGGTTCGCCATCACTGCTCTACACCATGGGCTGGGGGCAGGCCTCTTAATTTGGAGGTCGTCTCTTGGACCTAATGTCCTCCTCTCTAGCCTTTTTCTTTCGTTGTCTTTTAGCCTGTTTTCCCCCTTTTGGTTCGACATGGGGTATGCTACCTAGTCATTTTGAGTGGGGTCTTATAAGGGCCAAGGCGAATTTTCCATGGATGCTGCCATTTTCAGAAAAAACTTTTACCTTTGGCCTTGGTGTTTCTAAATGAGCCCACGGCGTGTGTCAGAAATGTCAGTCCTGTGTCTCGGGTGTAACAATAGCAGCTTCAGGAGCTGCAGGGAAACCCTGCAACCCCACCGTTGGTTTATGGGATGGTAGGATCGGGCTTGCCAGTCAACTGAGGTGTGCAGTCCTTACAGAAAACTGATGCTGGAGAAGGAGCTTGCTAGCATGTTGTGGCGCATTCGCTGGGAAGAGCTGCAGTTTGGCAATTCAGAGCGATATCACAAAGGTGCAGGCAGTCGCCTCACACTGTCACTGGTGAGCCCTTGTCTCAGCTGTACCTCCGCTTTCCTTTGAGTTCCTGTCCTTTCTTACCCTGGACCTTTCCCAGCACATTGGCCTGTAATGATAGCCCCTGCACTACCACCATCATCTAATGTTCCTTTCATCCTTCCGCCTCCATGTTGCCCTTGGCCCCAGCGGGGATCCAGTTACGGCTCGCTTATGACAGCCCATGGGAAATACCAGATCTTTGCCAACACCGGTCACTTCAAGGTGAACAGTCATCCGCTTGTTCTGGTCCCCACCATTTCATCCTGTTTCATTCCCATCTGTCACCTCTTCCCATGAACCTCTGCCCCTCATAATGTTCAGCTAAGCTCCTAGATCTTCCCAGAGTTCTCCAGTATTCCTAGCACCCAGAAATGCCTTCTGATATTAATTTTTCCTTTCCCCCCTTCACTCCCACCATCAGGGAAATGTTGTTGCCATCAAACATGTGAATAAGAAGCGCATTGAGCTGACCCGGCAGGTTCTGTTTGAACTCAAACATGTACGTAAAGGTGTATGGATTGAGGGCAAGGGGTTAACAGGGACAGGGAAGAGAAAGGGGAGGACTGTGAAGAGTGAAATTGGTTAGGAGGGCAGTGGGTTCATTTATAAATGACTTTGAGTTATAAGTACAATTGAGAGAAAGGCCCTCTCGTATAGTGGTAGATTTCTGTATCTAATTTTTAGCTCTCTCAATTCTCTTTTCCTTCCCCCCCTTTTTTTTCTAGATGAGAGATGTTCAGTTCAACCATCTCACTCGCTTCATTGGTGCTTGCATAGACCCTCCCAACATTTGCATCGTCACTGAGTATTGTACTCGTGGGAGTTTACAGGTGAGGGATAGGTGAAGGTTACAGAGGTGGAGGAGACAGGCTCAATGTTACATTGACTCTATGCAGCTAGTGGGACGAGGGTAGTCACATAATCCATTTCATGTCACTTGCCAGGATATTCTGGAAAATGACAGCATCAACTTGGACTGGATGTTTCGTTATTCACTCATTAATGACCTTGTTAAGGTGAGTCTTCCCTATGCCTCATTAAGAGTTCATCCACTTCAAAATGCCTCCATTTTTCTATGTTTGTTTATGATTTCTCCTTCTAGTCCTCTCTCCATTTCCCCTATTTCTATTGTTGAGTAATAATGGGTAAACAAAGGGTCTGGGATTTTTAATTGGGGGAATGAGTTTTATCTGCCACAGACAGTCCTGTACTTGTAGAGAATTTTTGTCTTTCTTCCCTAGATATCTCAAATCTCTCTCCATCTTTTTAATTTTTTTTTAACCCTCCAAGAGCTCATATTAAAATCTCTCAGCAGGGAAAAGATGAATGGGGTCTCCAGAAATATTTATCGCTTGTTTTTCCCCCACAATTTATTCTCTGACCAATATTTGGCATATATGTTCTTTTGTTCAGAAAAACTGAAATGTGAAAAAGAACATTTACTAGTAAAACTAAGAGAAACCAAGGAAAATTATAGTAAACCTTTGGTATCTTCTAATATATTACGTTTTAGCTAATTTTAGGTGACCCAGAAGTCCATGGATTTTCAATGGTATAAATTTGAATCTTGCACGGGTTGGACAGATGTTTAGAAACAAGTGTCATAGTCAGTAAGCTAGCCTAGTGGATCATTCGTACCACACTTGAAGCCAGCTTTGCTAATATATATATATATATATATATATATATATATATATATATATATATTTTTTTTTTTTTTTTTTAAATTTCGGAGAGGGAGAGAGAGATAGAAGCATCAATAATGAGAGAGAATCATTGATTGTCTGCCTCCTGCATGCCCCCTACTGCGGATAAAGCCCACAACTTGGGCATGTGCCCTGACCTGGAATTGAACCATGACCTCCTGGTTCATGAGTTAATGCTCAACCACTGAGTCACACTGGCCGGGCCAGCTTTGATTTTCTGCTTAATTCTCACAAGGTTATTTTATCAGCCCTATGAGGCCAGAAGTTTCAGGCTTCTGCACTGGCTTGGCAGCTGTCTCCTACTTTTGTCCATTTCCAGATTTTTATTTTTTTCCAAGTTTTTCTAATTTACTATTTTCTACATTTTCTCTCTGGCCTAGCATCCCCTCTGGTAGGTCAGTTTCCTTCTCCATCCTTACTTGCCTACCTACACATGGGTATACACTAAGGTTTACAACTCGTTAATCTTCCTTGATACATCTAAGTACTCTTGATACTTGCTTGGGTCTCAAGCCATGTCTTCCTAAGTAGTGGCCATGCACTGGAGGCCACCATGGGTGTCATATCATTCTTGGAGTTCACTCTCATAGTTCTGCTCCCTTCACTACGCAGAAGCCCTACTGCCCTTTCCAGGCTAATAACTGACGGCTCCCCTTGCCCCTCCTCATAAGCATTTCTTCTCTCCCTAGTGCCTGGGTACCAACAGCCTGCACATGGCACAAGGAGGAGATGGTTATCCCATTCTGCCTGTCTCCTTGGGTGGAAACTGTGTACAGAAAGCCTTCCACAACTAGCTTACTGTTTTTATGGCCCCAAGATCTTTAGATAGCTGGCTAATGCCTGTCCCATGGAGAGGGGGTATCCTAAGTCAGAAACAATCCAATCTCATGACTTGATCTGTATCCTGCAGGGCATGGCCTTTCTCCATAACAGCATTATTGCATTCCATGGGAGTCTCAAGTCCTCCAACTGTGTGGTGGATAGTCGTTTTGTGCTCAAAATCACAGACTATGGCCTGGCCAGCTTCCGATCAACTGCTGAACCTGATGACAGCCATGCCCTCTATGCCAGTGAGACCTCCCCCCACAACTCCTCAAACCCACTTTTATATGGCTCCTCTAGCCCTGGTCATTTCCACCTAGGGAAGGTGGGAGAGGGAGATGGAGTGACAGTAATATGGGGAGCATTATGGGGATGAGCCCAGGTGGTCTTGGGAATACCTTTTTTGAGGACCAGCCTATTCCCTCTTTTCAGAGAAGCTGTGGACTGCCCCAGAGCTACTCAGTGGAAACCCCTTGCCAACCACAGGCATGCAGAAGGCTGATGTCTATAGCTTTGGGATCATATTACAGGAGATAGCACTTCGCAGTGGTCCTTTCTACTTGGAGAGCCTGGACCTTAGCCCCAAAGGTGAGAGTCAATCTACTACCCCCATCCCCACCCCCCCACCTGGGGGGCCCTGTTCTTCATCCAACCCCTTTATCTCCTTCAGAGATTGTTCAGAAGGTCAGAAATGGTCAGCGGCCATATTTTAGGCCTAGCATTGACCGGACCCAACTGAATGAGGAACTAGTTTTGCTGATGGAGCGATGTTGGGCCCAGGACCCAGCTGAGAGGCCAGACTTTGGACAGATTAAGTGCTTCATTCGCCGCTTTAACAAGTGAGAGGGCACTGAGGGGCAGTGGCTCCTCATCAGGCTTAGTGGATGAGGTGGGGCTGGTCGGGTCCAAGAGGGTGGGTTGGGTAGAAAAGTACTGGGAGTCTTGAGAATCTTGGAGCAGGTACCATATTCTGGCCTCCTCCCCCAGGGAGGGTGGCACCAGCATACTGGACAATCTGCTGTTGCGCATGGAGCAGTATGCCAACAACTTGGAGAAGCTGGTGGAGGAACGCACGCAGGCCTATCTGGAGGAGAAACGCAAGGCTGAGGCTCTGCTCTACCAAATTCTACCCCAGTGAGACTTTTGTCCCCCTTCCTGACTTTTCCTTTGATATTCTGCTCTGTTGGATTCTGCCTCATCAATCTCCTGAGAACTCACCTCCCAACTGCTTTGTTACATCTGGCCACAGTGAGCCTTTGTGGCTAGAGACTATTTTCATCCTGTCTCCAAATGAGCTGTGCTGCCTTCTTCTTAGGACATTGGTCTACCATGCCTTTGCTCCAGCAAGTGTATGTAGAACAATCCCAACTTGAGACATTTAGCCACCATCCCCAGGGAGCCCATTCCATTCCCCCCATCGCCTTTACAGCTTACCTTGCTTGCGCTAGACTGTGCTGTCTTCCCAGCCACCTTCCTTCTCCTCCACCAGGCTCAGCTTTCATGTTAGAACTCATTTCTGATCCAGCCATACACTCCTTTCCTTTCTCTCTGTCTCCTCCTCTTTCTGAGCTTGGCTCAGACTGCCCCCCTGCTTTCTAGTTCAGTGGCAGAGCAGTTAAAACGGGGAGAGACTGTACAGGCCGAGGCCTTTGACAGTGTTACCATCTACTTCAGTGACATCGTTGGCTTCACAGCTTTGTCAGCAGAGAGCACCCCCATGCAGGTAAGAGCCATGGGTGAGACTAGGGGGTGGGATAGCGACCTGGGGGAGCTTCACTGGGACATAGGGATCCTTGATAATAGGAAAGATTGGTTTGTTCTGGAGTTGCCGTGTGGCTTTTGGGTTAAGAATGCTTAGAAGGTTGGACACAAGTCTCAGGGCTTCAACTTTCCCATCCATTCATTAGGTGGTGACACTTCTTAACGACCTGTATACCTGCTTTGATGCCATAATTGACAACTTCGATGTCTACAAGGTGAGAGCTTGAGGCTACCCTTTTACTTAGACCACTTTAAAACCCAGTCTCCCTGAACCCCATATACCTTACTTGTTCTGTGGTCAATTTCCCTCCTGACTCTCTAGTATCCTAGAGCCAGAATGCCCTTTGTAGACCAGTGAGGCTCTGGCACTCTCACTGTACCTTCCAGTCGAATTTCTTGTGAATCCTTAGGCTTCCCTAATGGGAACCATCACAAGATTTAGCCCCTATCTGCTCCATTTTCCTGAGGGTATGAATACAGCCTATCCATCTTTTCTCTTCTCTCCATCCCCTCCAGACATGGAAGAATCATACAGGATGTGGGTACAGAATGATTAATTGGGGTGAGGGACAAGCTATGTTGTAAAAGCCTTTTGTTGAAGTCATTGAGTTGGCACAGGGTGGGCTTTATTGTGCTTGGGAGTAAAAATTACTTGGATTTGCATATTGGCTTTGTGGCTAATTGTGTGGCCTTGGGCAAGTAACAGAAGCTCCCTGTGCCTCAGATGTCTTATGTGTAATATGGGAATAGTTTTTCTTGTGGAAAGTGCTTAACATTGTGTAGCTAATATCCCTTCCTGTCCCTTTGGATTTACTCTACCATCTCTGTTATCATTGTAATATAGACCTCCCATAACCCTTTACTAAGATTCACCAATTTTTAAAATATATTTTTATTGATTTCAGAGAGGAAAGGAGAGCAAGAGATAGAAACATCAATGATGAGAGAATCATTGATCGGCTGCCTCCTGCAGGCCCCCTACTGGGGTTCGAGCCTGAAATCCTGGCATGTGCCCTTGACCGGAATTGAACCCCAGACCCTTCAGTCCGCAGGCTGATGCCATATCCACTGAGCCAAACCAGCTAGGGCTGATTCACCAATTTCTTATATTTCCCCCCATTTGTTTTATTTAAAAAATCTATATAATTATTTTTTGAAGCATTTAAGAGTAAGTTTCAGACATAGCTCTCCTTTATCCTAAACTGTTCAATGTTTAGTTCCTAAAGACAGGGACATTCTCTTACACAGCTTCAGTACAATAGACAAAACCAAGCCCCTGCCTTCTTACTTTTGACAGTTTATTGTCTGAGGCCCATTTCATTGGGCCTGCTTGACCTCTTCTAGCTTCTGTCCTATTTTCTTGCTTCCCATTTCCTGACAGCAGAACCTGTTTGCCCATGTCCTGTTGCAAACAGGGTGCCCATTAATTTAGCAAACATTTACTGAATATTCACAGGTACTGGGGAGGAGCAGGAGGGTTTAAAGATTCCCCTTCCTGCCCCTGTATTCTCAGGACCATAACACTTATTTTTCTAGTCTATGTTCTGACCTCCCAAAGGCTGTCAGGAGACAAGTGGTGTTCAGCTTGTCTACTTGCACTCCTCCCTGGGAACTGATACAGGTACAAGTGACATTTTAATCCCCCTCTCAATCAGGTGGAGACGATTGGAGATGCCTACATGGTGGTATCTGGTCTCCCGGGCCGAAATGGTCAACGCCATGCCCCGGAAATTGCTCGTATGGCCCTAGCATTACTGGATGCAGTTTCTTCCTTCCGCATTCGCCACCGACCCCATGACCAGCTGAGGCTACGGATAGGGGTCCACACCGGTAAGGTTAACGCTCACTCCAGCCCTAGTATCCACCTTTCCCAGGCTCTCTCAACCTGTCTTCTCATAGGGCCCGTCTGTGCTGGGGTCGTTGGCCTGAAGATGCCCCGCTATTGTCTTTTTGGAGACACGGTGAACACTGCTTCCCGAATGGAGTCTAATGGTCAAGGTGAGACATTAGCCCTCAATCTCAGCTTCAGTCTCAGTCTGTGTCCCCTTTTTCTTCTTTTCAGAGTTCCTCCAAATCTCTCAATCTGAGACCACAGTTCCTGACTGCCCCATCCTTGGACATATTTAGGTTCTGGTGCATGGGCACTGGGAAGACCGAGAGCCTCCTGAGTGGTGGTGGTTGGGTAAAGCTTTCTCTGACACCACCAATTCTTCTGTTGCCTTTTCTTTTCTTCTTTCCACCATTCCCCATCCCACCCCAGCCCTGAAGATCCATGTCTCCTCTACTACGAAGGATGCACTGGATGAGCTAGGATGCTTCCAGCTAGAGCTTCGGGGGGATGTGGAGATGAAGGTGACGGCAGGCCATGGGGAGAGGGTTGGAAAGGGAGGATGAAAGTGACTATGGGGATCATGGGGGAAGAGAGGGAGATAAAGGGAATAACATAGAAGAATCTGAATTATATCCACTCCCCTACTCCCAGGGAAAAGGAAAGATGCGAACTTACTGGCTCCTAGGAGAGCGGAAAGGACCCGCTGGACTTCTGTAAACCCCAATTCTTTTCAAGTCAGTCTCCTGCTACTGGTACCTGGGTAGGCAGTGGCTATCATCTCTCCATACACCAGACATGGACACTGTCATATGGGATGGAAACCAGCGTGCACAAAAATCCTGTCTTATATGGAAGTTCTTGACCTTTGAAGCTCAGCCTTGTACATATACCTGCTCCTCTTTGGCCTGGTCCCCTTCTTCCCTACCTTCTGTATATATCTGTATCTAAACCAGAATATTTTGGTCAAATATAAAACAAACAAAAAATAATGATGCCATAGTCGGGGTTAAGGGCAGTTCCAAGGAAATGTTATGGGTATGAACATGGAAACTCAGGGAATCACTGACTCAGGATGAGAAAGAATCCTTTATGTAAAGCCCCTTCACCAAGTATAAACAGAATTCACTTACTCTCACCTTTCCAGTACAGACAGAAATAGATTCCATATTCCACATCTCACTTCCCTCCTCAACCCTTAGACAGTTCTACCCCCCTCACCACCCTGCCCTCTTCCCTGACAGCCAAGAGAAGAGATTTGTCCCAATTGGTAGGAATAATTCTCAGGTCCATCAGGAAAAGGCTGTTCCAGGGACAGAGGCACTGGTGTTGAGAAGCTGCAGTTCTTCCGGAATGGCGTGTCTAGTGTCTTGATGTTACTGACACCCTATAGGAATGCCAGAATAAGGACAGAGCCTACTCTCTGCCAAGCCAGAACAGAACAACCTCTTCCCTTCCTTCTTCCTCACTCCCAACATCCAGTCACCCTCACACACCGGTAGCTGTGGTGCCCTCTGTATCCAGAAGGTCTCAGGTTGCTCCTTGCAGTAGTCATGAGACTGTGAGGGAAAATACTGAATAACTCTTGGCCTGAAGCTCCCTTTCTAAACCTCTGGGTCTGCTGCTCCCCCACAGCCCCCCAAAGCTCAGCTTTACATGTGGGGTGGAATGGATTCTTACCTTTGTTGGGGCAGGAGCCCCTGCCTGCACCAGCTCCTTTTTGTAGTCATGGTGTGTCACAGATTCAACCTCAAATTGCTTCCTTGTCAGTTCTTGCTCTGCCTGCATCTCTTTACTATACAGTTATGGGGGCATAAAAGCCATTCTTCCCTGGTTTTTGTCCTCCCCCTCCCCTTTCCCCTTCATCCAGACTCTCACCAGATCTGGTGGCACAGCAGTATCTCCAGCATGGCTTCCCGTTTTCCTGTGGGAGTGGGGGGTGGGGGCAGGGAGTGGACAGAGCTGACAAGTCTGGTTAGGAAGCAGGCGCAGAATAAACAAAGTTGAGAAAAGGAAGGAAAATTGTGGGGGGTTGCCCTTATACCCATTGGACAATCTATAGTCCCACCAGAAATTCCTTTCTCTTTTTTCTCTGACTAGTGGACTCATTCTGACCCATTCCCTCATGCTCCACACCTCGAATTGGCTGACAGCGGTTTCGTGGGGTCTGGTATGTGTCCTTCTGGGTGGTGCTGAGGGGCATGGGTGATTGGAGCTGCAGGGTTAGCAGTCCCTGGTGTCCATGTCGGAAATAGAAACTCTCGGAGCCATCCTGCACGCTTGGGACTTGATCCAGATGGTTGGTGGCTCTCTGTGGGCCCCAAGTTGAGTGATCATGTTATTTTGTTACCCACTCTCATCATACACTACTATTTTCCCCAGGCAACTCCCTTTAAGAAAAGGGAGTAGGTCAAAACCTTAATACCTCTTCCTCCCAATTGTAGAGAAGGCAGTGGCCCCGTGGCAATGTTTTACCGAGAACCTCACACTTCACTTCAACCTCAGGGGTCTTCCACAGCCCCCTTTGGGCAATAGGTTCTGAAACTGGCAAAAATGTCCAGGGTTGTTTCTGAGGCTCACAATATTGGTAGTGATTCCCGGAGGCATAATTAGGGACCAGGTTTGCCCCAGGATGTCTGAAGCTTGTAAGAGTGTTGGGGCTGAGCTCAGGGTCATTGCCTGGAGCAAGCCCAGAGGCACAACCAAGGCGAGAATCCAGACCAGTGCCTTTACTAGAACCATAGCCACGGCCAGGGCCATGGCCAGATCTGGAGCCAGGAACGGGGCCAGATCTGGAGCTAGAAACGGGGCCAGATCTGGAGCTAGAAACGGGGCCAGATCTGGAGCCAGGAACGGGGCCAGGGCTAGAGACAGGAACGGCGCTAGGGCTAGAGCCAGGAACGGGGCCAGGGCTAGAGCCAGGAACGGGGCCAGGGCTAGTGTTAAGGTAATTTGTAGAACAGGGATGCCGAGCAATATAGGAAACATCAGTCTTAAAGCCAAGTCTCCCATGGCCTATCTTGTGGGTAAAACTGGGTCCAGTGCAGGGCTTCCCAGCAACACTATCAGAGGAGGGGTCCGAGAGAAGGCTTCGGTCAGAATAGGGCCCTGGGGTCTTTGCAGATAATACAGCTGCTTTAGCAGTGGAGACGGCTGCAGTGGCTGCAGCAGCTGCTGACGCTGCTGCCCTTGCGGCTACCAGGGCCGACCTAGGAGTGACATCCCCTTCGTAGCTGGGCAGTACGGGTAAAGATCTGAAAGAAAGCGGATGCGTCAAAAGCTCGGCAGAGGAAGGAAGTCCGCTGACTTTCCTCGTCCCCTAATGCCTGCAGCCAGAGCTGCGGCTCTCACCGCGACCTCGATCCCGATCCCGATCCCTCCGTAGACTCAAAGGTCGTCATCTTCAGACACCAGCTACCCCGGTTGCCATAGAGACAGCAAATATTTCCAGGAGCCTGCGCAGAACTATAGTTGGGCGGAAGTGCCGGGTTGAAGGGAGGGCCGGTCGCGGGGGGTGGGGGTGGGGGGGTGGGGGGTGTCAAGTTCCCTGCGGGGCGGAAGTCTTAAATCTGGTGCGGGGCGGGAAGTTTTCTTTCCGTTTGGACTCCATTCCCTCTCATCCCTGCTTTTAAGGTTCCGCTGATCTAAGGCCTCTCCCTCCATACCGAAGCATGATTCTTTTAAGCTCTCTAAGGTGGTTGTTAGAGACAGGCACAGGGCTATTATGTAGGGGATAACAGCAGCTTCCCCGTAGCGCATTCTCAAAAGTGGGGGTAGCCTTTTCAAACATTTAAGAATGAAAATACACCAGACAACAGCTTAAAGGCAGAATGGTGAGACTCAGGGATTAGTCAAAGGGTAACAGCTTTTTTGGGGTGTGATTACTTCACCCCCAGTAAAAGGCCCTCACACTGACCACCCTCCTCCCAGATCCTCTTATAATTTGGATTGGCAGCTGGATAAAGGCCATGATAGAGCACATCTCACATTCAGTCTCTTTTTTAAAAAAAATTGATTTCAGAGAGGGAGAGGGAAAGCGAGATAGAAACATCAATGATGACAGAGAATCATTGATCGGCTGCCTCCTGCACGCCCCATACTGGGATTGTGCCTGCAACCCGGACATATGCCCTGACCGGGAATTGAACCGGGACCTCCTGGTTCATAGACTGACGCTCAACCACGGAGTCACGCCAGCGGGGCTTAGTCTCTTCTTACTCATTCAGGCTTATTCCTACTGCTACTTGTCTGGAAGCTTGACTCAGGTGGGCCACTAGTCATGACTCACAGATCTACAGACAAATGCTTCTTTAAATACAGAAAGGGCCTCCTTCATGTCTCTTACTCAGAGTATAGTCAAAGAGTATCATAACCTTTTCCTTCCTCTTTGTGGCAAAATTTATATATTTAAGACAGAGATGCAAAATTGAGGGAGAGCAAGTTTATTAGATCACAGGGTCCCTTTCCTTCTCCCCCATCCAATCATCCAGGCACAGGGTCCTTGGTCAGTTGGTAGGTTCAACCTGGAGGCCACTGGAGCTGTCGGCCCCCAAGTACGTGAATGTGCAGGTGATACACAGATTGTGCTCCCAGCTTCCCATCATTGATCACTGAAAGGGAGCTTGGGGTTAGTGAGTCAGGACCATGGGAAAGGTCAAAGAATGAAGATCATATTGAGAAGTAGGTATGAGAATTCATCGGTGAAGGGGCTCCATGGCTAAGCCACTCACCAAGTCGGTATCCATCTCCCAGCCCCTCAGTCTTTGCTGTCTTCTTGGCCACAAGGAGAAGGTGTCCTAGAAGCTACAGGGAAAGGGGAGGGAGACAGGTGGCTTTATTTACAAGGAGCAAAACCTCTAGCTGAACCCAGGGCTTCCCCCAGCCAAACCCTCGTCCTATTCTTCCCACCTGCTGGTCGTCTTCTTCAGCCTGGCTAATCCGAGGAATGGGCTTCTTGGGAATGACCAGGAAGTGCACAGGAGCCTGAGGAGCCACATCACGGAACACGAGACACTGGGAGCAGTGACAGGCCAGAGGGCACCGTGTTACTTCCACAGGCTGGATGGTATCTATGAAATCCCTATGGGATGGGTCCTAAGGGCACCCCACCTGCTGGTCCTCATACAGAATGTCAGCTGGAAGGCTTCGATCCAGGATCTTAGAGAAGATGGTTGGGGCTGTTCCCCTAGGAGCTGCCTGCTGGGCCTTGGTCACTTCGTTTCCATCATTCACACCTGCAGCTCCTCGGACCTGAAGGTGGGTCAAAACCGAGGGAGAGAGTTGGGGCTGACAGAAGCTGGTCACGAACGTCACCCTTCTAAGAACCTATTAGTGGTTCCCACACCAAGGAACAGTTCTTCAGTTGCAGACCATCAGCAGCAGAGTAGGGCCAGAGTTAGATAACAGGCAGTACCGTAATGGGACTCAGCAGCAGTCCCAGTGATTTCTGCTTCTAAAATGTCTAGGAAATTTAGCACTGTTCAGGGGAAAGATCCAGAATGAGAACCTGGAGACTTAGTTCCCTTAGTTCCTATTTACTAGTGATTTGCCTTAGAAAAATCCCCTCTCTTGGCTTCAAATGTAAAATAACAGGGAGTGGTTTACATCATCTTTTAACACTCCTTGGAGTTCTTTCCATATACTCTCACCTTGTTAACGTTGCCACTTATTTCCATTACTTACTTTCTGATCTTTAAGCCATGTGACCTGTTTTATTCAGATTTTAATACATTTGCCTTTTGACACAGGGCGTCTAGGTGTCACATGTGCCCTTTGACAGTGAATTTTAACTCCAGGCCCTGAATCAGTGGAAGAGTTCAGTTCCGTGAACTCGGCCCCCAGGGATTGAGGGAAGGCAAGTCCCAGTTTCCCACCAACTCAGAAAGGGTTCTCAAGTCGGTGCTGTCACACTGCGGGGGGAGGACTGGATGAATCTGACCCCTCCAGGCGCTCTGGCCAAGTGGGGAAGACGAGAGCCTAACACTGGGACTCAGCAGAAGGCCAGGAGCCTGCAGGGCAGCAGACAGGCTGCAGGGAGACCGGAAGCTTCCTTCCCGCAGGGGGCACGAGGGGGCTGCCCGGAGCAGGCGTGGGGTAGCTGGGCTTCAGGCGGGTTTAGGAGGCAGCAGCCACTGCACGGCCCCGGCCCGGCCCCGGCGCCCGGGGCTGTGCAGGGTGCAGGTCATCGCCAGCCGCTTCTCCCGCGTCGAGGTTTCGGGGAGGACGATGCCGCGACTACCGGGCCGATCTCACCGCACAGCCATGGAACTTGCACGCTGCGCTCCGTCCCCGCGAGGCCGCTGGGCTGTGCGCGTCTGGGGAGCCGGGGAGGAACGCGGTCCCCGGCCCTGGTGGCCGTCAGGCGCGCAGAGCCCCCTCCTGGTCCCCACAGCCGCTTCTCACCTGCGGCCCCCGCGGCCCCGCGACCGCCACAGCCCTGCGCGCCACGCGCAGCCCGGCGGCCAGGAGCACGGCCGGCGCCATCTTCCTCTCGCCCTCGGGCCCCCGTCCCTCAGGTCAGTCCCCGGGCCGACCGGCCGCCGGGGCGGGGCGCCTGGGAGCGAGCGGCGGCGGCGATTGGTCCCGCCGGCTCCGAGCACGTCGCCCCGTAGCTCAGAGGAGTGGCGGGATCTTCCTCCCCTGGGCGCCTGTGCAACTCACTCCATTGGCTTCGTCTTCTCTCAGCGGGACCGTCCCTTTCCCATTGGATCTGCTAACTGGTTTCTCCCGCCATTGGAAGGAAAAAGAGACCGAGAGGTGGGGCTTCCCCGCCGCGGTGTGGCCGCCGGCGGGTGGCGCGCTCCGGGGGCGGGGCCTCGCCTCCGGGTTGGGTTCCGCGGCTGCGCTGGGAGGAGAGGGCTGCGCCTGGCACTGCCCACCCAGCCGGAAGGTTGTGTACCAGCGATTTCAACCCTTTCCGCCTCCCGGCGCGCACACTACACTAAAATCCTGCGGCACACCGAGAATGCATTTTTTAGCGACCTGACCCAAAAGAGGAGGTATAATTTTGATCCATTCCCACGGCACAGCTGTTGTTATGCTGGCAGTTGTCCTTTTTTAATTTGGCAATAAAAAGAGGTCAGTGCCCCTGACTAAATGGGCAGCTATTGCATGGTTTAAAAATTCTTGTGGCAAAAAAAATAAAATAAAAAAATTCTGTGGCACACCGGTTGAAAATCGCTGATCTAAGGGCAATTCTTCCTTAATGTTCTTGTTAGCATTTACCCCAAGATTAAAGATTCTACAGTTTTAAGGATGGTTTTTGCATTTTTCTTTTTAACGGGAGGAGCTGGGTGTGTGTGTCCTATTTTGACCACAGGATTAATAAGCAAATGTTCTTTCCTAATTAGAAAAGGTGGGTGATAGGGTCAGCTCTGTGCCTGGTGTTTTTAGGGAGTAGAGTTAGGACAAGGGAAATGTGTCATGGCTAGGTCTGAAGTATATTTCGTTCTGCTGCAATATATATTATTGACATAAGAAACATGGGGATCACAAAATGCGAATATACTAAGGTAAATATACCAGGTAAGTTTTAATCTGATGTTTAACACATAGGATAAAAGTCACCACTGTATTTTTAGTTTGTGTATATGTATGTTTTAGCACATAGCCTGACACATAATTTGTAGAATGAATAACATTTGGTGTTTTCTCTAATTTCTTTTTATAGTATAACTAGAGGCCCAGTGCACAAAAATTTGTGCACTTGGGGGGGGGGGGGGCGCAGCCCGGCCTATGCCCTCTTGCAGTCTGGGACCCCTCGGAAGATGTCCACCTGCTGGCTTAGACCCGCTCCCTGGGGGATCGGGCCCAAGCTGGCAGTCAGACAGCCCTCTGGCAGCCTGGGAGCCCTCGGGGGATGTCCACTTGCCAGCAGGGAGCAGACCTAAGCTGCAGTCGGACATCCTTAGTGCTGCTGAGGAGGCAGGAGAGGCTCCCACCACCACCACTGTACTGGCAGCTGTCAGCCTGGCTTGTGGCTGAGCAGAGCTCCCCCTGTGGGAGTGCACTTACCACCAGGGGGCAGCTCCTGCATTGAGCATCTTCCCCCTGGTGGTCAGTGTGTGTCATAGTGACCAGTCATTCCCAGTTCTGCTGTTAGGGTCAGTTTGCATATTACCCTTTTATTATATAGGATAGAGACCTGGTGCATGGGTGGGGGCCGGCTGGTTTGCCCTGAAGGGTGTCCCAGATCAGGGTGGGGGTTCCGCTGGGGTGCCTGGCCAGCCTGGGTGAGGGGCTGATGGAAGTCCCCAAAGACCTCATTGCAAAAGCCATTGGACACTTTTTAGCCTTTATCTTACTGGAGATCAAAGTGCATCTAACATCATGGCTTACTCCATCCTTCTTAAAACCCCCTCCCTCCTTGGCTTCTTTGAAGCCACTCTCTCCTTCTGATGCCAGGACTAGCAGGTTAAATGTGGGTGTGGTGAAGGCAGATGGCTGGATCTAGCCTCTCTCTCTTTCGCCCCCAATAGGTACTGACTCTG